TTGTGTCCTTCAGAAAAATCATCTAGCTGAGTCCTCGGCTTGTTCTTGTGGATTTAGATTTGAAAAAACATCTCACTACTTTCTTGAATGTTTAAACTTTAATCAACATCGTGTTATATTTTTTCAGAATATATCACATGAAGGTCATAACCATCTAACTATTGATGTCATTCTAAATGGTTGTGAGAGATGCAATGAAAATGAAAATAAACATATCCTTCTATCTCTCTCAGATTATATCGTAAGAACTAGAAGACTTAGTATGTCTAACCAAGATCTCTATCTCATTATGCTTTCATTCATTCATTGTCATCTGATTTCCAAATAAGGTAACTTGCACATTAATATTTGTTCTTTAGGGAGAGTTTAGTGTTCACAAGACCAGTTATATTGTCTACTCAAAATACTGGGGAACAACTTAATGAATAGAATTAGAAATTGGAAGAAGTTTTATTGAACAACACAGATCTCTAACCTGCAAATAGGCATAAATTAAACTATTTGGTGAGATTGAATTTCCAAATTCATTAGTGGATGGCCTTGTGTGATACAATGGACTTTTCTGGCCTGTATCTGTTGGGTGAGGTAATTTAATAACACTAAATGTTTATTCATTAATCTCTAATAGTTTTCTTCTCTTCAATTAAATGTAATATTTTTATTTAAAGAAAAAGGTTAGAAAATGAAATCAAATGGAATTATATGAGCATTAGATTAAAGTAGTTGTCTCCCCTACTTCAGCATTCTAATTTATTTACGTTTGTATATGTTCAAATGTCTAATTTTGTATGCCTATGTTTGTACCACTGTTTGTTACCATGTTTGGAGAGGGCTTAAATAGGCTATGCCTGCTGCCCAATCCATTTGTCAATTTGACAATAAAATTTGTTGAAATTGAAATTCCTAGTCAAACTTCTACACACCTCGCAAGCAGTTTGCTCAAGATGCCATAATGATTTAGCTAAATAAGAATAATTTGCAGGCTCGAGTGAAAAACCAGCATACTGCCATGTTTCATTTCCTGCACTATTGTCGATTTTCTGAAACAAAACTGTTCCTCGACATTACTGTTAAATATCACCTCCTCGTCTTAAAAGTTATGTAGACAAGTGATAATTGAAGTATAATTTTGGTATATATTTCTCGGTCATGTTTGCCTTTACATAAACAGTGAAATTCATCTCAAACGTCGAGGTAACATAATGTGCAGGTTCTCTCTTGATTAGAAATACCTAACCATCTTCCTGTTTCTCCCTGCTAGGTAAATGTTTAATTGAAGAACGAAACTTACATATAATTTTCAAATGGCTGGTATTAAGCTTATTAAGCTTAAGTGTTTCTCTTGTTCAAACTTTGTCTTAAACTTGGAATATGTGTGCCCTCTAGAGGAGAGAAGAATATCATCGAACCATTTCTGCATAAATTTATCTTTCAGTCTATTTTTCACCAATGTCTTAAATTCATCTTTAGAAAAGGAACATGTAGATTGACAGTACCAGACATAATTCAGTCCAGTTTGGAATATAATTTCTTTAACATTTGTGAGCCATTTAAATGACATGGTTCCTTTTTCTTTTATTGTATAAATCAACTTATAGATAATTCTAGATAACTGATTGGCAGTTATCAGTTTATGCCAGAATACTATTATTCTACATTTAATTTCAATGTCTAGTGGGTATCTTTCCAGTTCACCATAAACAATCAAATTAGCTGTGTTTTTTCTTACATTAAGTACATTTAAACAATATTGCACATGACAGTTGCCCCTTGTAGGGAGACGCGGCAATAGGTCAGTCCCTATACCGTGATACTCAGTTATGGTCAAAAGATTCTTTCAAATTTATTTCTTTAAATGTTTGCGGTATTAAGTCTAAGATACCCGAGCTTGAAAACTAAGTATTTGTACACGATGTACTTGTTTCTGCCGCGAGTAAGATTGATAATTTGGATCATTTACAATTAACGTTTGACTATGAACATTATGTTTAATGTAGAACTAATGCAGACAAAAATCTGGTGGTATAGTAGTCATATTTCAAAACATTATCAAGCCAATGCTTACCTTACCTTAAACTGTGTCAGAAGATGTATCATGGATAAAATTTTCAAAACGTCTTATGAAGTGTAATGAAGATATCTTAGAAGGCGGTGTATATATACCTCCGGAAAATACTTAGTATGCATCTCCCGAAACTTTCATAGAAATTGAAAGGGATTTGATAGAATGGTAACAAAGTCGCTATGGCTGGAGATTTTAATGTTAAAACACAAATTAGAGATGATTATATAGAATCAGATGGCAACTTTTTCACTCCTAAAATCTAGATGAAGAGTTATACTACTACCTTTATGATTTCGAAAAGTTGAAACTATATCATGTTTCTCTACTTAGGCCATTGTGCGAAATATTGCTTTATTTTTGTAAACAAAATCATATGTATATTGCTAATGGTCGGATCGGAAAGGATATAGTAATAGGTAATACTACATATAGTGATGTCATCGTTATTGATTATTTATTGTTGTTGTCGGATATTTCCAGTATACAATTGACTTTGAAATCATACATTTTGATCCATTAATATCTGATATCTATTGTAGAATAGCATTTAGCTTTTTTATATTTAATGATGCGTGTAACTATAATAGCAAATGTCATGAGAACGGTATCGTATATACCAAACGGAAATCATGTATATAGAAAGATTTTGTAAAACACATACTTGATTACGAGGCAGGTAACCAGCATAAAACTAACGATAAATTAAATTAATTATCAAATAAACAATACAACAATGTAGCAAATAATTAATAAAATTGTAAATTCAATTAGTGCATTGTTCAAGGGATCTTCTAAACAGGTTTTGGTATCTATAATACTTACGGGTTAATTTTTGACTATGTAATAATTTTAGCAGGGAATGATGCTAAACAGAACTCAAACACATATCAACAGTTAAGACAATCTCCATCAATATATCAATAACATTACATCATGTAATCTCCTTTACAGGCTGTAGTTTGACAGCATTGTAACATCGGTCACATAGACGAATTTCTAAGCATTTCGATTTTTAAAGTTGAATACTATTGACAAGCTTTTTATCTTAAGAAGTGTATTGTGAATAAACGAATTCACTGTGCTCCTTTTATCGACGAACTTTCACCCTATATATAGACAATCAGTGATTCTTGTTGAAACATTGTCACTAAACATAGATAATCAGTGATTCTTGTTGAAACATTGTCACTATACATAGACAATCAGTGATTCTTAATTAAACATTGTCACTATACATAGACAATCAGTGATTCTTAATTAAACATTGTCACTATACATAGACAATCAGTGATTCTTAATTAAACATTGTCACTATACATAGACAATCAGTGATTCTTGTTGAAACATTGTCACTATACATAGACAATCAGTGATTCTTGTCGAAACATTGTCATTAGACATAGACAATCGGTGATCCTTAATTAAACATTGTCACTATACATAGACAATCAGTGGTTCTTTGAAACATTGTCACTATACATAGACAATCAGTGACAATCAGTGATTCTTGTTGAAACATTGTCACTATACATAGACAATCAGTGATTCTTGTTGAAACATTGTCACTATACATAGACAATCAGTGATTCTTGATTAACATTGTCAATTAAACATTATACATAGACAATCAGTGGTTCTTGTTGAAACATTGTCACTATACATAGACAATCAGTGATTCTTGTCGAAACATTGTCACTATACATAGACAATCAGTGATTCTTGTCGAAACATTGTCACTATACATAGACAATCAGTGATTCTTGTAGAAACATTGTCACTATACATAGACAATCAGTGGTTCTTGTTGAAACATTGTCACAACATCAGACAATCAGTGTGATTCTTGTCAGTGATTCTTGTTGAAACATTGTCATTAGAAACATTGTCATTAGACATAGACAATCAGTGATTCTTGTAGAAACATTGTCACTATACATAGACAATCAGTGATTCTTGTCGAAACATTGTCACTATACATAGACAATCAGTGATTCTTGTCGAAACATAGACAATCAGTGATTCTTGTCGAAACATACTATACATAGACAATCAGTGATTCTTGTTGAAACATTGTCATTAGACATAGACAATCGGTGATCCTTAATTAAACATTGTCACTATACATAGACAATCAGTGGTTCTTGTTGAAACATTGTCACTATACATAGACAATCAGTGATTCTTGTTGAAACATTGTCACTATACATAGACAATCAGTGATTCTTGTTGAAACATTGTCACTATACATAGACAATCAGTGATTCTTGTTGAAACATTGTCACTATACATAGACAATCAGTGATTCTTGTCGAAACATTGTCACTATACATAGACAATCAGTGATTCTTGTTAAAACATTGGCCCTATATATGGATCTACAAAAAAAATCGTTGATTCCTGTCGAAAAATCTTCCCTACTGATTGAATGCAAAATCGGTCAGATTTGCATGGAAATCTTTCCGCTGCATACAAGGTGAAATCTGTAATGCCAGATATCAATCAGTGTTATACAAATAGCACTGCTTCCTAAAGCTAACAGTAAGAGTTTACTGATAAATCCTTCCCCCGGCTATTACAGGAAGCCATTATCCTGTTTATTCTTCCTAATAACTCATTACTCAAGATTCTTGTTTGATATTTCTGACCCTATATTATTGAATTTGTTTACAAGGGAAATTGAATGAAATCCAGAGAAGCTATATACAACAACTTTTCAACAAAGATTGTGCTGTTTTAACATTTAATAATTATCCTCTACATAAAAAAAAGACCTAAATTACATGATAGAAAGTACGTGAAAAGAATGACGTTTCCGTCATGAAATGACGGAATGTTGATTTGGACAGTGACGATACAATATGTCTTATGTGTTTATTCGTTTGAATATCGCAGGAAATCAACAGTTATTCCATTAGTAAGTTTAACCAGTCACGTGTTACCTTCCGACAGACGTTTCTATACCGTTCTCTGCTACCCACTCCCGACATTTGTCGACTGGGTTAGGTTCTGTCGTCAGTAAATCGTGGTCACCCACGTGTTTTTCTCCCGTTGTTTGCGTAATATTTATTTCCTTTGTGTTAATAACTTCCTTCTTTGAGATGAAAGATTTCACTTCTTTGTTTATCACCCTCGGGGAATCTGTAAAGGAAATTTGTCTCCTCGATTTGTCTCTTCCAGACCTCCTTGAAGATATTCTAGATATCTGGACATTTTTTCTTCCTGAGTTTTGTGCACCTTCCTCCCCAGCGGAATTATCGTCCGAATCTTCATTAAATTTCACTCGGGTATCCTCTGTCATTTGCTGTAGAGCCAACCTTGCCTCCGGTGAAAGGCCTTCAGAAAACTTCGTCTTTTGTCGTCTATTCAGTAATGTCCGAATTTCAAATAACGCATCACTAGACAATATGAACCCTCTCAAAATTCTCTCATCAAACTGACTCCTTGACATTTTATCCTCTTTTTAATTCACGTGACAATATCTCAGTAAACACAACTACCGAAAAATCATCCTTGACACCTGAAAAATTCAAGTTAAAGAGCTATTATGACCACCATTTTGTTTTCGTAAACAGGGACTATTTCATGGTTTGTCTATAAACACGTAACAATGACTATTTCATGGTTTGTCTATAAACACGTAACAATGACTATTTCATGGTTTGTCTATAAACATGTAAACAAGGACTATTCCAGTGAATAACGGAAACTCACACGATGATATATAATTACGTGAAGTAAAAGAAACTGCAACAGTATGAAGACGCCACTTTCTTTGTTCAAACAATTAGATCTCATTGTCATTTACAGTAAACGTATAAAAGTCTTAAACTTACTTCACATTCGGATGTCTAGTGGAAGTCAAAAGCTCTGTAAATATTGACAGCCGAGAAATCTGGCGCCTAAGTATTTAATTTTCGGATAAGGTCAATAGAAAAACACGAATTTATAATTAATCATGCTACAACTTACTCGACCTTAGTGGAAGTTTTTCTGAAATATTCCCTTACGATATGTACCCGCTATACACAAATTTATTAAAATTTTATTCATTTAAAGAACCTCATACGCAGTATATATACAATACTATTCTGTGAGTAATGAATACACATTACGAAGTTATGGTACCCCTATTTGAAATCCAGAACGGTGGGAACCTTTGCGATATTCTAATTTTATGTTTACATGAATGAGGATTTGTGAAAAGCTTCTATTATATTATGTCAAAATAATACAAGCCGAACGTTTTTAATTAATCGTCCAAATACCTGTTAACAAATAATGCTACACAAAAACAGGGGAAATCTTATATACTTATCGACATGGGAGTATTCGGGCGGTAGTGCGGTGTCAAAATAAAATAATTTTCTAATAAAATCGTCTGTAAATTTGGTAATGAAAACAATATTTTATCAAAACATCATACCTTTAATTATATAAAAAAAATTATACTTTTAATTATGAATGTTAAAAGTCTTTAGTTGCAAAATTATGAAAAAAAAAATGTGTACATGAAAATTAAGGGTATGTTAGTGTTAAATCATCTTTTAAAATATATGTTGTAAAGTATTTGAATTACATTGATTGCAGATCTACTTAAATGTGGATGCTGGTTTGTAAATAATTAACAATTAGATTTAAAATCTTTCGTATCAATATCAACAGTATTTCATTTCTATATAATGATACTATAGTGATTTACATGATAGCCGTTTCCATGCTCAGTTCTCTTGAAATGAAAAAAATATATATATTATTCGTGTAAAGTTTGAGTAGTTTAATATCCCGATATGTCACCATGACAACCAATATGATGAAAAGTTCAGACGAATAAAAACATCGTATAAGACAATGCTTTCAAAAATAACATGATTTGATTGGCTACTTGTATTTCCTCCATTATAACACTAATAAACTTAATAAAATACAATAAAGTGTTTATCAATATATCTCGCATTTTCAATTTCTGTGACGAAGTTATCAAGTCTTTGACATGTTAGTCCTTTGGTTTACAGGTGTATTTAGTAACTTAGACCATACCTGTCACGATGAAGTATTCCGATGTCCACTCAGATGAAAACACAGGTGTGTAGGTTACAGGTGGTTGTTTCTGGGATGGAATGAGAAAAAACGAAAAGTTCAGGCTACCTATTAAACATGCCTCGGTATATTAGTGTACACGTGACAGCCCGTTAGAGTGGGCATATCACTGTCGACCTTACATTGTACCAAGGTAGCAGGTACTTCAAACCTGTCAAGCTCTCTTGGCACTGGAACGTCATTTTACACACATCTCGAGATACCTTTCGTTCTTGTAGTACAGCTAAATGACAGGTTTTATATACTGATCAGTTGAGCAGGGGTAAAACAGAAAGTAGCCGACACTAAAGTATAAACATTTAATATATTGTTTTTACCGTTCTGAACACATACCACACATTTACTATACACATATCACTGCACATACCAATACATACCACTTAACACATTAACACCAACACATACCATCAAACATAATACACATATCACTGAACACATACCATCAAACATAATACACATATCACTGAACACATACCATCAAACATAATACACATATCACTGAACACATACCATCAAACATAATACACATATCACTGAACACATACCATCAAACATAATACACATATCACTGAACACATACCATCAAACATAATACACATATCACTGAACACATACCATCAAACATAATACACATATCACTGAACACATACCATCAAACATAATACACATATCACTGAACACATACCATCAAACATAATACACATATCACTGAACACATACCATCAAACATAATACACATATCACTGAACACATACCATCAAACATAATACACATATCACTGAACACATACCATCAAACATAATACACATATCACTGAACACATACCATCAAACATAATACACATATCACTGAACACATACCATCAAACATAATACACATATCACTGAACACATACCATCAAACATAATACACATATCACTGAACACATACCATCAAACATAATACACATATCACTGAACACATACCATCAAACATAATACACATATCACTGAACACATACCATCAAACATAATACACATAATACACATATCACTGAACACATACCATCAAACATAATACACATATCACTGAACACATACCATCAAACATAATACACATAATACACATATCACTGAACACATACCATCAAACATAATACACATATCACTGAACACATACCATCAAACATAATACACATATCACTGAACACATACCATCAAACATAATACACATATCACTGAACACATACCATCAAACATAATACACATATCACTGAACACATACCATCAAACATAATATACATATCACTGAACACATACCATCAAACATAATACACATATCACTGAACACATACCATCAAACATAATACACATATCACACTGAACACATACCATCAAACATAATATACATATCACTGAACACATACCATCAAACATAATATACATAATAACACATACCATCAAACATAATACACATAATACAGATATCACTGAACACATACCATCAAACATAATATACATATCACTGAACACATACCATCAAACATAATATACATATCACTGAACACATACCATCAAACATAATACACATATCATTTATACATACCACAAAACAAAACGTACATATATAACATGTATATAAAATGTACATATATTAACACATCCCAGTGAACAGAAAGTAGCCGACACTTAAGTATAAACATTTAATATATTGTTTTTACCGTTCTGAGACACATTTACTATCAAGCAACCAATACATACCACTTAACACATTAACACCAACACATACCATCAAACATAATACACATATCACTGAACACATACCATCAAACAAAATACACATATCACTGAACACATACCATCAAACATAATATACATATCACGAGCTATCAAACACATAAAGTAACTCAAGTAAATAAGAACACAGCCCTTCCAAACATTACCGTATACTAACTATCGGTAATTTCAGTCCATTTAATGCATATCATTAAAAACTAGAAAGGCATTGGCTTGTGAGCAGAAAAAGAGTAAGCGGAAAATACGACCAGGAGTTCTGGAAGTATAAGCGTCAACACAGAAACTCGCAACTCAAAGCTTGGTCAAGTTAAGATTGTACTAAATGTAGACAAGTAATTAACATTCTTCAATAAAGTAATATCACTAAACCGAAACCTATAGACATTCTTACTAGCAACGACAACATTTAACTTCACATCACCCACGAAAATAGATAAGTTCCTGATGAGACCATGGTTACAACTTCTCTGTAGGTTTCGTAAACCTGAACGAAACATAAAGCATCAAATATTTACCGTGGAACACTTACTGCTAAATGTAGCATTAAACACATAATATGAAACAACAACCTTCAAATTAGCGATAAAATGATCCTACCAAAATGATCTCCATAACGTAAATATCATTAATGACTGACCATGAAACATTTATCTGCAATTAACTACCTCCGTCCTCAATTCTCCATCCATACCTTCAAACGCATGTCCCTGAAATATCTTCCTTTTACCAAAACCAAGAAACATTTATCTTAATTCAACGATCGATAAATCGACATTATCAACACGCCTCTAAACATATAAATATATATAATGTAGGTCACTTAACACATACCATGGTTTTTATCTCAACACCTATCAATAAAACCATGATAATTACAATTAGATATATACTACATATAGGAAATCAAACATAAAATATACATATATCAGAAATATTATCATATATCTACAAGAGGAACGTTCAAACAGTGAAATGTTTTGAGGAAAATACTTACACTTAAAACTTAAAACACAAAGAAGTATCCTGTATAGATAAACCACTCTCACTAAGCTGCGAATCAACATGGCAGGTAATCTACCTGTAAAGTATTGCTAACAGACCAAGGCGGTATGTAAGTCTTACAAATCTGAACAAAAACTAAAAAAAAAGTAATGAAATCTTGTTTTATTCTAGTTTTGTTAAAGCCTGCTCTACACGGTCTGGTGACGCTTTTTGACAAATATACCTCCCGTAGAGTATACGGGGAATGTCTAAACAAAGCCTTTTCAGTATGATTACTTACAACCCTCTTAACTTCTAAAAGTTCTTTCATCACATGGTGGAACACTTCCGCATTTTTTTCACATTCAGCTGAATAGCGTCGGTAATTGAATATTCAATATTTTTCGTCAGATACCTACATGTACATATGTTTTGTCCTCGGTTCTAAATACACCATCCCGCTCCTTCGTCCTCGATAAACCATCCCGCCCCTTTCGTCCTCAATACACCATTCCGCCACCTCCTCCTCAAAACGCCATCCCGACTACTCGGTCCTCAATACACCATCCCACCTCCTCCGTCCTCAATACACCATTCCGACCTTTCCGTTCTCAATACTCCATCCCGACTACTCGGTCCTCAATACACCATCCCGATTACTTGGTCCTCAATACACCATTCCGCCCCCTCCGTCCTCAATGCACCATTCCGACCCCTCCCCGTCCTCAATGCACCATCCCAAATCCTTCGGCCTCAAAACACCATCCAGACCTCTCCATACTATATACACTTCACGCATGAATTCAATATATAATTTTGTATTCATACCCAATTCAATAAATACCAACGTGAGTTTGTCGTACCCGATGACTTTTTCAGTGCCTCACAAAAGTGTAAATAGAATTAAATTATAATGTAAGTAACGACGACGGATTAAAATATATAGAGGCTATACATGACGGTATAGATAAAATGTTGTGTTGTATATAAACAGCTTTATTAAGGCATATAGTGAAGGCAGTCAGACTACCGCCGTGATAGGAGGTCGATTTACATATTCACCTTTTATAGTATACACTTGTATAGGATGGTTGTGTATTTGTCAACAAATGGTGCCATTAAAAAGTGAGGAGAATGTTATGGAGTATTGTAAATCGAGGGAATGTTTACGGCTATTAAATATGGAACATCAGAATGGCTCCTCCGTAGATCCTATCAGATTTAATCAAATGGTTTACTTAATTTTATAAATACATTTCTCTTTAATGCTTGCAGTAACGTCATTGTAATTAGAATATAATTATCTATTTTTACTTTGAGTAGACACCAAATTAAAGGTGTTTTATTTATCCAAGAAAGTCGTGTTTTATTTAGAAATTAACACACCTTTTCTCACAATTACTTTATTACACGCAATTTCGTTCCGCATGTTTCACAACGACATCATCAAATCCGTAAGAAATTTATATAGCATTTCTGCTTGATTTCACAACGATTTCTTATTAAATAATCATTATCCTAGAATGAGATTTTTTATTTCATCGGAAGTGAAAATATTTTCACATTTACATTATTTTTTCTTATTTGTCCTCACATGGTAATGGAAGGTCTGCTATTGGACCAGACGCACTATGATAATGGTAGTATTCCATTGGAGTGGGAGGGACGATAACAATAACACATTCTCTACCGGTATGGTGATAACACGAGTCTACTGGTGTGATGATAACACGTAGTCTACTGGTGTTACAATAACACGTAGTCTACTGGTGTGACAATAACATGTAGTCTACTGGTGTGACAATAACACGTAGTCTACTGGTGTGACAATAACACGTAGTCTACTGGTGTGATGATAACACGTAGTCTACTGGTGTGACAATAACACGTAGTCTACTGGTGTGACAATAACACGTAGTCTACTGGTGTGACAATAACACGTAGTCTACTGGTGTGATGATAACACGTAGTCTACTGGTGTGACAATAACACATAGTCTACTGGTGTGACAATAACACGTAGTCTACTGGTGTGACAATAACACATAGTCTACTGGTGTGACAATAACACGTAGTCTACTGGTGTGATGATAACACGTAGTCTACTGGTGTGATGATAACACGTAGTCTACTGGTGTGATGATAACACGTAGTCTACTGGTGTGACAATAACACATAGTCTACTGGTGTGATGATAACACGTAGTCTACTGGTGTGATGATAACACGTAGTCTACTGGTGTGATGATAACACATAGTCTACTGGTGTGATGATAACACGTAGTCTACTGGTGTGACAATAACACGTAGTCTACTGGTGTGATGATCACACGTAGTCTATTGGTGTGATGATCACACGTAGTCTACTGGTGTGATGATAACACATAGTCTACTGGTGTGATGATAACACGTAGTCTACTGGTGTGATGATAACACGTAGTCTACTGGTGTGATGATAACACGTAGTCTACTGGTGTGATGATAACACGTAGTCTACTGGTGTGATGATAACACATAGTCTACTGGTGTGACAATAACACATAGTCTACTGGTGTGACAATAACACGTAGTCTACTGGTGTGACAATAACAAGTAGTCTACTGATGTGACAATAACACATAGTCTACTGGTGTGACAACACATAGTCTACTGGTGTGATGATAACACGTAGTCTACTGGTGTGACAATAACACGTAGTCTACTGGTGTGATGATAACACGTAGTCTACTGGTGTGATGATAACACGTAGTCTACTGGTGTGACAATAACACATAGTCTACTGGTGTGATGATAACACGAAGTCTACTGGTGTGACAATAACACATAGTCTACTGGTGTGATGATAACACGTAGTCTACTGGTGTGACAATAACACGTAGTCTACTGGTGTGACAATAACACATAGTCTACTGGTGTGACAATAACACATAGTCTACTGGTGTGACAATAACACGTAGTCTACTGGTGTGACAATAACAAGTAGTCTACTGATGTGACAATAACACATAGTCTACTGGTGTGACAATAACACATAGTCTACTGGTGTGATGATAACACGTAGTCTACTGGTGTGATGGTAACACGTAGTCTACTGGTGTGATGGTAATACATAGTCTACTGGTGTGATGGTAATACATAGTCTACTGGTGTGATGGTAACACATAGTCTACTGGTGTGACAATAACACATAGTCTACTGGTGTGATGATAACACATAGTCTACTGGTGTGATGATAACACATAGTCTACTGGTGTGACAATAATACAGTCTACTGGTGTGATGATAACACGTAGTCTACTGGTGTGATGATAACACGAAGTCTACTGGTGTGATGATAACACGTAGTCTACTGGTGTGATGATAACACGTAGTCTACTGGTTTGTTGATAACAACACAATGTCAATTAATTTCTACCAAAGTTTAAGCCTTACAATAACTTGAAATGCACTCTAGGGATGACTGATATTCTACCGGCACACAGAACCATAGTATTTATTCATAATAAAGATAAAACGACACTAAAAGTCCTACACAACAATCTGTGTACATGGTATTACTGTTCAGTGAGATATCTTATCATCTACTTTTACACAAAAGAAAACTGATAATTAACGTAGCAGACAAGACCAACATTCTGAACTCCCAGTTCCAGTCCGCATTCTCTGAGAAACCAAGCTTCACACACCCCGACTTATATATCATCAGGCAGGTGTATGTCTGTAAATTATAGACCGATATCCCTCACGTCGGTTTGCTGTAATGTTATGGACACTATCATAACCCTTGTCACCGTGTCCCACGGCGAGACTAATTACATACTCGATGACCTTCAACATAGTGTCAGAAGGGTAGAGTGAAACACAGCTCACTGGGTACCTGGACGACCTCACCAACAGCCTTCATATTTGACATCAAACTGATATCTGTAGTGTCCATGATAATCTTATAATTAAGTTCTGATATCCTTTGTATAAATTATCTATATCAATAGAACTTCAATATGGCGGCATATACAGTAAAGTTCCAGACTACAGAGAAGTGTTAATGCTGTTTGTAGATCACAACATGAAATCCTACAATATCCTATCATGAACTTCGCCAAAGTCATCAATACGGCAATTTATAGTTTGGTTGTCCACAAACTCTATGAATATGGCATCAGAAGTCAAATTAATAACTGGATTCGGAGCTGGCTAGGAGACTGAAACTGTAAGAAGCGGAAAGCATTGAACATTGAAAGTCCCATATGGATCAGTGCTATACTCTTCCTCTTCTACATTAACGACTTGCAGAACATTCTAAGAGCCCTCCTCTGTCCGCCGATGACACCATTGCCTAGCATCAGAAGACAGCTCAAAGACCCTACAATAGGATCTTGACAAGCTGGCGACATGGTTATACCTCCCAGGAGGTTTAGTCAGCCGGCTACTTTGGTGTCGCCACATCGAACAACATTATGTGGGATGTCCACATCCGTAAGATAGCTTGCAAGGAAAACAGGATTTCTTGCTAAAGACCCTGCGAATCTCCCCAACAAAGATTAAATCCATGGCGTTCATTAGACTTGTCAGACTTTTACTGGAGTACGTGTGTACAGTCAGGGACCCGCTACGTCCAAGCTGCAGAGCAGATCTAGAGACGTACAGCGCGATATGTCACATGTCGCCATAGAAACATCTTCCGCACCCATTTTAGGTGGGAATATCTCAGATCCAGACATCAAGAGTCCTGACTCTCCATGTTATACAAGATTGACATATGACTAGTCGCGATAAAAAAAAAGACAAAAAAGCTGCTACCACCTCGTTTGTTTGACAAAACCGTGCATATCAGATAATTTCAAATTTTTCCCCAGAACGTTGAGAAATCGGAGTGCTTTACCGCCAGACATCTTCCTTGCAGACACACTGAGTGTCTTTAAAGCTGGGGTGGCACGACTCTGAAGCCTTGTGTTTGTATCTTGTTTTTTATGCACTACATTTTAAGCTTTCGTCGTTCCTGCAACGTGCTTGCACACAGTATATAGCAGAATCTTCAATTTGTTGAAGGAAGTTACTTCTAGGCAAAACAAGACGTATCATATGTATGGTGTAAGGAGAAGTAAATCTATGTGCGTTGGCTATCTTGAATCCGGACTGGAGATGCTAGATTGAAGTAATAAGATAGCAGCAGTGGAGATCCAACCTTGTTCTTTTATCCGACCAGGTAGGATGTCACTGTTATTTAGTAATTTAAGGTCTAGGAAAAGTAATTCCTCAAACCTAAGTATAAACATGTGCCAAGCTATTCACATTTTATACTTTACACTTAACAAGTAAGGAGGGAATCGGCGAATAATCATCAAAACATCCCAACAACTCATGTTGAAGTCGATTGAAAACGGAAGCCTACAAACGATTAACCTACCGTTTGAAGGTTTGAAGCGTGCTTTATATATATTGATTTAGAAGGGAATGTCATATTATTTTTTAATACTGGGCCCCGTTAGGGATGAGTCTTCAGTATCTTCCTAGGACTTACTAATCGTCTGCATAATAAACATAACCTTTTCTGTCGGTACATGTGCTCAAATTCAGTACACGGCACCTTAAGCCCGACATTTAAAAAAGAAAAAAAATTAGGTAGCATAACCGTTTTTAAATAAACGTTTTTCTTACCTGCTGTGTTCTTTACTTTTTCCTGTTTCCGGTGTTGACAGCTAGGCGTATGTTTTTTACGGTGTGGTGTACTATCTGTGGTGTATAACTGGCATTTTGTTGTTCGTCTCACCTGCTGTATCTGTCTTTACTTTCCCTTGCGCAGCACCAGAGGTAGACAACAATGCATGTTTATTTATATTTTTTCCGAGTAACTCATTATTTTCGAAGCATAGACAATAAAAAACATTTTGATATGACGTTCATACAGGGAGAAAACTCGACCTGAAAACAATCTAATTGCAAGGAAGTTACAGGGAGATAACTCGATATGCAAAAAAACCCTTACAGCAGAGCAGTTTTGCACACTGAAAATAGCAATATCACCGCAGTTCCAGGGAGACAACTCGAACTGAAAAAAACATAACACGGCAGTTACAGGGAGATAACTCGAACTGAAAAAAGGAGATTCCCATGACTTTAGCACAATTGAATAGATCTATAGCAATGAATAACACTTATCAAACTGGTATTCTGTTAGAAGTTCGGGATAATTAATAAAATTTTCTATTGTAAATTTTCCATTTCTGAATAGCTATATTTCTGCATCCCAACCTATGGTGCTGACATGTCGCAGCTGATTCGATATTCAAGAATCTGCTCCAAATATCACGTTTTCCATACAAGATGCCGCCAATTGACTAACAAACTCGGATTTGCAAGATGAAGTTAAACGTGATGAATGCTTGTTAACATGCCTGGTACGTCTGTTTTTCTTGTTCTCATTGAGTCACGTGACATTTGTTTCTTTGATAGACGAAGAATATATGGCGGATGTAGCAGACAGTGAAGTGCTTACCCTTCCGAAACACGTGGTCGTATTATTTTTTGTACATTTCCTCCTTTTCAGGAGTATCGTTGTTAACATCTTTCTATATATATATCATTTATTGTTTATTTTCATTTCTTCTTCTTCTTCTTCTTCTTCTTCTTCTTCTTCTTCTTCTTCTTCTTCTTCTTCTTCTTCTTCTTCTTCTTCTTTCTTCTTCTTCTTCTTCTTCTTCTTCTTCTTCTTCTTCTTCTTCTTCTTCTTCTTCTTCTTCTTCTTCTTCTTTCATCGATCAATTCTGTTAACATATCATCTTTATTTTTTTTGGTTTTTTATTCCCCAACACTCAATCCCGTTATCAAATCGTAAAATGTCTTATACGGACGCAATAAGTAATTTTTATGTGACGTTTGATGTACCTTGCTTTTATGTGACGTTTGATGTAACTTATAAGTTACGACGTTTGATGTAACTTGTAAGTTATGACGTTTTATGTACCTTGTTAGCTATGACGTTTTATGTACCTTATTAGGTATGATGTTTGATGTATCTTGTAAGTTATGACGTTTTATGTATCTTGTTAGTTATGACGTTTTATGTACCTGTAAGTTATGACGTTTTATGTACCTTGTTAGCTATGACGTTTTATGTACCTTGTTAGCTATGACGTTTTATGTTCCTTGTTAGATATGACGTTTTATGTACCTTGTTAGCTATGACGTTTGATGTATCTTGTAAGTTATGACGTTTTATGTATCTTGTTAGTTATGACGTTTTATATACCTGTAAGTTATGACGTTTTATGTACCTGGTTAGTTATGACGTTTTATGGACCTTGTTAGTTATGACGTTTTATGTACCTGTAAGTTATGATGTTTTATGTACCTTGTTAGCTATGACGTTTTATGTACCTTGTTAGCTATGACGTTTGATGTATCTTGTAAGTTATGACGTTTTATGGATCTTGTTAGTTATGACGTTTTATGTACCTTGTTAGCTATGACGTTTTATGTACCTTGTTAGTTATGACGTTTTATGTATCTTGTTAGTTATGACGTTTTATGTACCTTGTTAGCTATGACGTTTTATGTACCTTGTTAGTTATGACGTTTTATGTACCTGTAAGTTATGACGTGTTATGTACCTTGTTAGCTATGATGTTTTATGTTCCTTGTTAGCTATGACGTTTTATGTACCTTGTTAGTTATGACGTTTTATGTATCTTGTTAGTTATGACGTTTTATGTACCTTGTTAGTTAGGACGTTTTATGTACCTTGTTAGCTATGACGTTTTATGTACCTGTAAGTTATGACGTTTTATGTACCTTGTTAGTTATGACGTTTTATGTACCTGTAAGTTATGACGTTTTATGTACCTTGTTAGCTATGACGTTTTATGTACCTTGTTAGCTATGACGTTTTATGTACCTTGTTAGATATGACGTTTTATGTACCTTGTTAGCTATGACGTTTGATGTATCTTGTTAGTTATGACGTTTTATGTACCTTGTTAGCTATGACGTTTTATGTACCTTATTAGCTATGACGTTTTATGTACCTTTAAGTTATGACGTGTTATGTACCTTGTTAGCTATGACGTTTTATGTTCCTTGTTAGCTATGACGTTTTATGTACCTTGTAAGTTATGACGTGTTATGTACCTTGTTAGCTATGACGTTTTATGTACCTTGTAAGTTATGACGTTTTATGTACCTTGTTAGCTATGACGTTTTATGTACCTTGTTAGCTATGACGTTTTATGTACCTGTTAGTTATGACGTTTTATGTACCTTATTAGCTATGACGTTTTATGTACCTTTAAGTTATGACGTGTTATGTACCTTGTTAGCTATGACGTTTTATGTTCCTTGTTAGCTATGACGTTTTATGTACCTTGTAAGTTATGACGTGTTATGTACCTTGTTAGCTATGACGTTTTATGTACCTTGTTAGCTATGACGTTTTATGTACCTTGTAAGTTATGACGTTTTATGTACCTTGTTAGCTATGACGTTTTATGTACCTTGTTAGCTATGACGTTTTATGTACCTGTTAGTTATGACGTTTTATGTACCTTGTTAGTTATGACGTTTTATGTACCTTGTTAGTTATGACGTTTTATGTACCTGTAAGTTATGACGTTTTATTTTCCTTATGTTATGTTGCAACGATGATTTATTATAAGTGCGCGTAGACCTAATGCTGAAAAACTTGAATGATAACATAAATTAAAAAACACACAACTGTGACTTGTTCTTGTTTTGGTACGTACTATTTTAGAACAAAACAAAAAAGACATTATATTTACTACGCGGGTTTTCATTAAGATAAAGTTGTCTAAGATTCAATGCTGCAGTGTCCTACTGGAGACATTGTAGAGTGATGTATAAATCATACCTGTATTATACCTGTTGGTATACTAGTCATTGACTTATACGACTGATCACATGACCACTTTGTAAATATATAAGATAATAACACTGACAGTTTCAACATCGTCACAATTTTTGTACCATTTCTATATCTAAACTGTTAATAAAACTCTGACCTTGTGTTGTATAACCACTAACTGATGTATGTCTGGGTTTGGTACTCGTGTTGTATAACCACTAACTGATGTATGTCTGGGTTTGGTACTCGTGTTGTATAACCACTAACTGATGTATGTCTGGGTTTGGTACTCGTGTTGTATAACCACTAACTCATGTATGTCTATATTTGGTACACGTGTTGTATAACCACTAACTAATGTATGTCTATATTTGGTACTCGTGTTGTATAACCACTAGCTGATATATATCTGTGTTTGGTACTCGTGTTGTATAACCACTAACTGCTGTATGTCTGCGTTTGGTACTCGTGTTGTATAACCACTAGCTGCTGTATATCTGTGTTTGGTACTCGTGTTGTATAACCACTAGCTGATGTATGTCTGTGTTTGGTACTCGTGCTGTATAACCACTAGCTGCTGTATGTCTGTGTTTGGTACTCGTGTTGTATAACCACTAGCTGCTGTATATCTGTGTTTGGTACTCGTGTTGTATAACCACAAGCTGCTGTATAAGCACTAGCTGATGTATGTCTGTGTTTGGTACTCGTGTTGTATAACCACTAGCTGCTGTATATCTGTGTTTGGTACTCGTGTTGTATAACCACTAGCTGATGTATGTCTGTGTTTGGTACTCGTGTTGTATAACCACTAGCTGCTGTATGTCTGTGTTTGGTACTCGTGTTGTATAACCACTAGCTACTGTATGATCACTAGCTGGTGTATATCTGTGTTTGGTACTGGTGTTGTATAATCACTAGCTGCTGTATGTCTGTGTTTGGTACTCGTGTTGTATAACCACTAGCTGATGTATGTCTGTGTTTGGTACTCGTGTTGTATAACCACTAGCTGGTGTATATCTGTGTTTGGTACTCGTGTTGTATAACCACTAGCTGCTGTATGTCTGTGTTTGGTACTCGTGTTGTATAACCACTCGCTGGTGTATGTCTGTGTTTGGTACTCGTGTTGTATAACCACTAGCTGCTGTATGTCTGTGTTTGGTACTCGTGTTGTATAACCACTAGCTGCTGTATGTCTGTGTTTGGTACTCGTGTTGTATAACCACTAGCTGATGTATATCTGTGTTTGGTACTCGTGTTGTATAACCACTAGCTGCTGTATGTCTGTGTTTGGTACTCGTGTTGTATAACCACTAGCTGGTGTATGTCTGTGTTTGGTACTCGTGTTGTATAACCACTAGCTGCTGTATGTCTGTGTTTGGTACTCGTGTTGTATAACCACTAGCTGATGTATGTCTGTGTTTGGTACTCGTGTTGTATAACCTCTAACTGGTGTATATCTGTGTTTGGTACTCGTGTTGTATAACCTGTGGTGTATATCTGTGTTTGGTACTCTGTGTTTGGTACTCGTGTTGTATAACCACTAGCTGATGTATATCTGTGTTTGGTACTCGTGTTGTATAACCACTAGCTGATGTATATCTGTGTTTGGTACTCGTGTTGTATAACCACTAGCTGCTGTATGTCTGTGTTTGGTACTCGTGTTGTATAACCGCTAACTGGTGTATATCTGTGTTTGGTACTCGTGTTGTATAACCACTAGCTGGTGTATATCTGTGTTTGGAACTCGTGTTGTATAACCACTAGCTGATGTATGTCTGTGTTTGGTACTCGTGTTGTATAACCACTAGCTGATGTATGTCTGTGTTTGGTACTCGTGTTGTAAAACCACTAGCTGCTGTATATCTGTGTTTGGTACTCGTGTTGTATAACCACTAGCTGGTGTATATCTGTGTTTGGTACTCGTGTTGTATAACCACTAGCTGGTGTATGTCTGTGTTTGGTACTCGTGTTGTATAACCACTAGCTGATGTATATCTGTGTTTGGTACTCGTGTTGTATAACCACTAGCTGATATATATCTGTGTTTGGTCATCGTGTTGTATAACCACTAGCTGCTGTATATCTGTGTTTGGTACTCGTGCTGTATAACCACTAGCTGATGTATATCTGTTTTCTTGTACTCGATTTTTTATAACCACCGGTTGGTTGATATACATCTTTGTTAGTTTATAAACCAGAAGATCGTGATTCATTCTTTGGTGTTTGGGAAATATATTGGTTGCGCAGTTTCGCGTATTCTAGATGCCGGGAGTATTTGATAAGTCCTTGTTGTAGTTGATGACATTGTTAAGTGTGTACCTGTTCTTCTTAACCTTTCCCTCCAGTTATTGACTTGTATGTCGTGCCCTTGATGGAAATGTGACGGAAAAATTCTCTCTTAGTTTGATCTAAATGTTTTAGTAGTCAAGTCTTAGTTTTAATTTTGCCTTATAAATAAGTATTTCCCAGCCCTCAGGTTCAGCCGTGTTTACTGAATCGCAATGTTGAGAGGATGTAATGGGGCCGGCGGTCATATCCCCGAGAGAATTGTTTTGACCTGTACTGTTTATATTGACAATCTTAATCGGTTTACTCACGGAGATTCATATTTCAAGGGGTTATGACACGTTTCTTAAAATTGATGTGTATGTAATGTGGGGCTTGGTACCGAATGAATGCACACTGTGGTTGATAGATTCTCCTTAAGATACGATAACTAATTAATTTGTTTCAACTGGTGTCGAATGTAAAGATGACAGACAGTTCATGCTGTCTAATAATCTTTAGTGCAGGATATCCATTCTATTGATGTCTGAAGTACAATTTCATGTTTTGTCCCTTTAAATCTCCTCTGACATTTATATATAAGTTTCATAATTTTCACAACTTTATGATATATTACTAACGAGCATTCGGCCGAATCGTACAACTTAGTTATCATCTGGCTTCAACATATTTCTAATAACTTTAAGTTTAAAAGATTGGGTTTTTTTAAACATTTTCTTTAGGTTGAATGTTAATAGAATAGAAGTTCTTTTAACACAACCAGTAGAAGATTAGAATGTGACGTTTCGATGACTACACGATCATCTTCATCACACAAATGACCAATATGGAGCGTACTGCCACTGACGTACGTAGTGTACGAGATGGTACGGAATCGACCAGCTTTTTCTTCTGTACTACAATCCTGTGTACATCCTTTTTTGTGAGGATGACTTTTTGGAAGGTTTGATTTGCGAAAGTAGATTAAAAGCAAAAAAGTCATCATGTTACTGTACTATTTGTCCCGGTACAGATGTCAGAATATGTGTAACAAGAAATAATTCATTGCCATATCTTATTCTTATTTCTTCCTGAATAACAAACATTCGCGGTTATTTTTATGACAACTTTCTTTAAAATAGATTTTCCTCTTTCATTACAAGGCTAGGGTATGATATTTGAATATTTAAAGAAAAAGTGAAAATGCTTAGTTATCTTTTGATTTAACTTATTCAATCTGCTTTGCAATCAATAAATAAAATACATAAATCTTTTGTTTATTATTATTTTAATTTTCGAAATGACTTTTCTCGATTAAAAAAGAGGGGATCGTTATGCTTTATTTTTACAATTTTCACCTAAATATCCAGTTTTTCAGGATCAAGAAACCTGCTGAAATATTTATTTTCGTATCCTATGAACCTGGGAAAGTTGTCCCCAAGTCAAAATTCACGAATTTGAAATCTGTGATATGTCGTGATAATTCATGAAAAAATTAGTTGAAATATATCCAAAACAACTAGAGTTATACTCTATAGAAATATCAAAGTAACCAGAGAATATTAGAATCGTTGACTCTACTAACCAAATTACACTGTCAACTACGCCGACAAATAAGTCCGCGAGCGAAAACTCTTCAGAAGGTCATGTAAATCGCACGTTTTCAACTTACAGGTACAAATGTCGATGGCAAAATATATAATAAGACTTAAGTCCAAGATATTATGTTGGAATCTATTTTAAAGTGAATTATGCCTTACTTCCGGTCAAAACATCAGAGGTATACATCAAACTATTTCAAGTGTGACGACTGCATTTTAAAGTCAGAATAGCAGAATACTTATCTCTTATCGACAGCAGCCAGGTTTGTTTCTGAATTAAGTAGTAAGAATTAATTCTATAACGATATCAACTGTTTCAGTTATCGATGATGCCAGTAACATGTTTGATCAAATTTATACAATAATAGTTAGTCCTTTGTGTGAATGACGTTTACCCTACAAATCTGTGTCACGTGAAAAACAACTTCGGTATTTTTAAACGAGTACATCTCCCCTACAATTTAAACACATAACCTAAAGATTATACACAAACATTCAGTCCAGAATACATCCGTTGCATAAAAGAACCTGATTAAGATGATCACATGAGGACGAGGATGAACCCTAGTAGCCTCGTTTAGGATAAGAAGACGACGGTATACGATAAACAGACAAACTTGTTTTATGGTAATTCTGAGAAACGTTAAACTAGACGGTTTGACTCTCACAAACAACGTTACAAGTTCATTGTCGTTAATTATAATGTTTTCTTCAGTGATGTTCGTAACGATGATTTGTAAGCTGTCTCTGACTTTCAGTAATTTACTAATCCGCCCATCAAATGTTACTTTGAGAATGATATAATCTTACTCGACACAATTTCATGCTCGTTTTAATATTCATTGGATTTTATATGTGTAATTACTAAATCAAAGTGTATCATGTCCGTGGCACTTCTACACACTAATACAGATAAACTGTACAGCATAGTTTGTTATTCAGGATGGGATACATCCTTTGGTAAAACCATTGTTGTTATCAGACACTGATATACTTTATATGTAATTCACTTTGCCCTCCCGGCGCAATAGAGACAAATATGTAAACATCTTCTCGCGTGATAAGGGCGAGATTAGACTGGTTTCTGAAATTTTTTATATGAAAATTCCTTAAAATTCTCTCAATAAAATTAAAGTTAAGTTGATAATTGAAAAGACTTTAGTACAAGTTCGTAATTCTGCTCCTGACAAATTGAGTATAAACCCGTTAGAATATTTCTAAAGAGTCCCTTATACAGTGGTGTCATTCTCTCTCTCTCTCTCTCTCTCTCTCTCTCTCTCTCTCTCTCTCTCTCTCTCTCTCTCTCTCTCTCTCTCTCTCTCTCTCTCTCTCTCTCTCTCTCTCTTTATTCTAAATTCTTATGCTCAATATGTTGTCAATGGAATAAAGTTATCATACAGGCAGAAAAAGATAGGTGTCGTCACCGTGATATCATCGACCAATCAGCGATCAGAAGTTTGTCAGCCTGTAAGATAATACGTTTAAATTCAACATTCATGTGTATATGTTTACCGCTCGTCTATCGATCGGGAGGGACGTAACGGTATGACGAAATCTCAGGTAGGACATTATCAATTATTAATCACAAATGTATTTGAACATATTAATTTATCTTTAGTGAAGGTAGCAAATGTCATGCCTTGATTTTTTACAGTAGCTGTTTTACAATCAAATTAATGGAAATTCATTATCACTTGTCCTTCCGATAATTTGTTGTGTGCAATACTGTGAACACGTGGAAGGTTTGTTTGTAGATATTTAAATCAGCAAAAACCATATTAACAACTGAATTAAAATAGCCCCTTTAAACAGTGTATTTATTCTACACGTAATGATAACAAAAATTCGTTCATCTTGATTGTCTTACACTCTTTAACTATTAATATATTCAAAGATGGATCTATTCACGACAAATCCTTGATATATTTCCTAAAGGAGACTAGAATAAGGAGATATTTCAATACGACATGTCATTGATTTATCTGCTAAAGAGACTAGAATAACGATTGTGGTATACCTGAAAGGAGGCTGGAATAAGGATAGATCGGGACATATCCTAAAGGAGGCTGGAATAAGGATAGATTAGGACACATTATAAAGGAGGCTGGAATAAGGATAGATCGGGACATATCCTAAAGGAGGCTGGAATAAGGATAGATCGGGACATATCCTAAAGGAGGCTGGAATAAGGATAGATCGGGACATATCCTAAAGGAGGCTGGGATAAGGATTTATCTATACACGAGTCGTCATTGAATTATCTACTAAAGGATGGTAGAATGAAGATAGATCTATTCACGACATATCCTACGATTTATTTCCTAAAGCACCCTGGAATAAGGATTGATATATACACTCCTAGAGGAGACTAGAATAAGGAGATATCTAAATACGACATATCATTGATTTATCTGCTAAAGAGACTAGAATAAGGATTGTGGTATACACGACACATCCTTGGTTTATCTCCTTAGGGAGGCTGGAATACGGATAGATTAGTACATATCCTTAAGGAGCATGGAATAAGGATTTATCTGCACACGAAACATCCCTGTATAATGTCCTTAAGGAGGCTACAATAAGGATTTATCTACACACGAAACATCCCTGTATAATGTCCTTAAGGAGGCTACAATAAGGATTTATCTGCACACGAAACATCCCTGTATTATTTTCCTAAGGAGGCTACAATAAGGATTTATCTACACACGAAACATCCCTGTATAATGTCCTTAAGGAGGCTACAATAAGGATTTATCTACACACGAAACATCCCTGTATTATTTCCTTAAAGAGGCTACAATAAGGATTTATCTACACACGAAACATCCCTGTATTATTTTCCTAAGGAGGCTACAATAAGGATTTATCTACACACGAAACATCCCTGTATAATGTCCTTAAGGAGGCTACAATAAGGATTTATCTACACACGAAACATCCCTGTATTATTTCCTTAAAGAGGCCTAAGGAGGCTACAATAAGGATTTATCTACACACGAAACATCCCTGTATTATACAATAAGGATTTATCTACACACGAAACATCCCTGTATTATTTTCCTAAGGAGGCTACAATAAGGATTTATCTACACACGAAACATCCCTGTATAATGTCCTTAAGGAGGCTACAATAAGGATTTATCTACACACGAAACATCCCTGTATAATGTCCTTAAGGAGGCTACAATAAGGATTTATCTACACACGAAACATCCCTGTATAATGTCCTTAAGGAGGCTACAATAAGGATTTATCTACACACGAAACATCCCTGTATTATTTTCCTAAGGAGGCTACAATAAGGATTTATCTACACACGAAACATCCCTGTATAATGTCCTTAAGGAGGCTACAATAAGGATTTATCTACACACGAAACATCCCTGTATAATGTCCTTAAGGAGGCTACAATAAGGATTTATCTACACACGAAACATCCCTGTATTATTTCCTTAAGGAGTCTAGCATTTTAACATCAGATTCCTAAACAAGATATTTTCAGATGATTCAGTGTGAGCTGAATTGATAAGTTATAATTATCTTTCTCTAGATAAATAAACAGATAAAAGAAAACTGGCGAGTTATATCTGCTATCTAATGACTTGTATGTGCGACAAGAAACTTGATGATAACATATGACAGCGTTTGAAAGACTTTTATTCAAACACTGATAACATCTTATTTCATTTGTTTATAAATGTTCTGCTTCTGATAACAATTCTGAGGATACGTTTTGCAATGGCTCTGGGTTTTTATACGTCTTTTTTGTATTTCATATAATCAATCGGATTTCTTTGCATATAATTCTATAATATTTTGGAATGGAGATACGGATTTCCTTGAGTCATAAACATAGACTACCAGGATTTTGTATAACATTTTCTTCTGATGTTGTTAAAGATATCAGAGACTCGAATTCTGTAAGACTCTCTTATTACAAAGGAGACAATAAGATGCATAGATTACATTACGTACATACGAGAGATGCACTCTGTGTGTGTTGATCTCCTTCATACTATACTGGTATACAAACGTTATATCCCAAATAGAAAACACATGTGCCTTGAATTTCATATAATGCTAAGACAAATATTTGTTTTCAACAGTTTAGGTCAATAAGTATTGAGACATCCGTAATGGTGAAATACCGGGTCTATTTCCACTGTTCAATGGAAAAATCTCGGCGAGCAAAAACGTAATGGAAAATTACCCAGAGTAGCCGTGATTTCCCCTCAACGTTGCAATGTCAGAGTGTCACACTCCAGATAAGGGGGATTTATCATACCGCCATCCACTGCCAGAAATCAGTAGGTTAAAGCTACTCAGTAAAACAGTTCAAACTAGGCACACAGGGCAATGTTTGACAATGACAGGTCCTCGAGATTGTACAGGAGACACACAAGTCAATAACACCTTCTAATACAAATTGAGAGCTAGATACAATGGAGCCAAACAATAGGGAAAACACCATACAGTCGTTTTGTCCTTCTAGGACTTGTCAGTGATGCTAAGGGCTTAACTTATAAAGCATAAGGGACAATTTGGGAATATTAAAAGTGATTGAAATAAAAGTAAAAATTGAGGTGAACTCTAGAAATGCACTAGCCCCATAATTAGACCATTTTCGTAATTCTCATATGTCTGATAATTCTGGTATAACGTCAAGAGCATTTGTATATGATGAACCTTGTCACTATTGACGTTTACTCTCCCCACTTTAATTATTAATTAATTATAGATTTTTGTCTGGTGATCATTTTGTCTAAAAGGCTCTGTTCAGTAATTCTTCAGAGATTTTGAAAGCTTGAAATAAACACTAGCAGGTAGTGTATTTCATTAATGAACGGAAGCAATATAGACATAATAAAAAATGCGTCCGGAAGGACATATACATGTCAGGTGAATTTTCTTGTGAACTGGTTAAACGCCATTTGATACGAATCATATAATCAAACTTCCTTTGAGCTGCATATACTATTAACTGGGCAAGCAACAGTAACAATATCGATCAACCAAATGCAAAGTATTAAGAACATGAATCACACTTTACACTCGGGAAACAATTGAAAATAGTGCAAGGAGAACAACATAAGGAGCTTCGAAAAGGTAATGCCATGTTCTCAAAATAGAAACCGCGACCACCTGGCATGCTGGAAAGTGATTTGTCCTAATTGTAGGTCTCGGAGACAATTTATCTTGCTCCGTATACTTTTTTTCAGTTAGTTATTTTTTATTCACTCAATCGATTCGTTGACTTTGGTCTTGTCAGGCTTAGTAACAATTCCTGCTATTGTCTTTTTTTGCTTTGCTTTTGTTTTTGTTTTTCTCTCTGTGTGTATGTGTGTGTTTTTGTTCTTTGATTTTTTTTTTTTTTTTGTGGAGAAAGGGGGTGTTGGGTGTGGATGGGGTGTTCGTTTCCGCAATTTCTTTGTTTGTTTATATTGTCTTCATGTCTTCACAACTTCAGAGCGATCGTGTGCTCATCACTCAATGCTGCTGATATTGTTATGCTACGATTTCATTGGACCATTGTTATTATCAGGTTAAATTGACTCTGTATCGTATAAGTACTAAAATACAATATGGTCTGTTTATCAGGAAGTGGAGCGCGGATCCTGGGGAAACCAGGTGGAGTTTTTCCTTTCCTGTGTGGGGTATGCTGTAGGACTGGGAAATATCTGGAGGTTTCCCTATCTCTGCTTCAGAAATGGCGGAGGTAAGTATAGTAACACTGTCCAGACTTTTTTTACGACTGTACAACACGTATCGGAATTCATAGTTCTTATTTCCCAAAGCTGAAGATTATTACATTATACAGAGAAATATTCGCCGAAGTTTTTTTTTTCGCCCTAGATTAATATATTAGTCCTCACCCATAGTTTATTTCGGCCTAGAATCATTATAACAACTATCTTAGTTTTAACCCTGTATATAGTACAAAAGGCCAAGGTCGTGTTTGTTGTGTAAATAACATCTTAAAAAGATAGTCAATATCAGTCAATATCAAAATAAAAAGATACAAAAATACTGCACAAATGTTAATTAAGTACGTCCGTTTCAATCAATATCCAAAATTACGAAGCCTGTACCATTTTTGTTATTGATGTTACGGTTTTTTCTTCATCTTTTTCAGGTGCTTTCCTTATACCATATGTGCTGATGCTGACATTTGTCGGTTTGCCTGTCTTTTTCATGGAGCTTGCCTTCGGACAATTTGCTTCCTTGGGTCCAATTTCGATTTGGAGAGTCAACCCCCTGTTCAAAGGTTATTTTATAACATAACATTCCGGTAATGACGATATTTACACATTATAAACAGTGTGAGAGACATTTCTAGGTTACAATCTTTGTTGGCAACTGTATATCATCTGTAAGTGTAGGTAAACACCTGATCCAATCGTAAGGTGGTGAAGTTTTAACAGAGTTATTGTGTTAAATTATACATATGTACTCTCTGATTGATCATGATTCTCAACTGCATTTATCAGTTATCGTTTCGTCTTATACCGTAACAATATTGTATATATTGTAGATAAATACTTCACCATAATTTGAAAAAAAAACGGTTTAGATAATTAAAGAATGCGGATATTTGAAATGGTTCTTGCTCTACAACAAAATAATGATTTGCGATAAAACCAGTCATTACAAAACAGTTTTATACTATATTATATGTATATATTATTGTGTATCCTGCACAGGTATTGGGTTTGCTTCCGTATGTGTGTCCACTATGGTAGCTATATACTATAATGTGGTGATTGCCTACGCCCTGTATTACCTCCTGGTATCCTTGGTTAGTTTCGATAATAATGTTCCCTGGGCCACCTGTGGGAATGACTGGAATTCTGACTTCTGCATCAACAATTTAACCCTCATCGAAGACAGTATGAACGACACGGAGAAACTCAACATCCAACTAGGTAAGTTGTATCACACTGTTTAACTCTTAAAACTCAACATCCAACTAGGTAAGTTATATAACATTTTGTACCTCTTAAAACTCAACATCTAACTAGGTAAGTTGATAACACTTTGTACCTCTTAAAACTCAACATCTAACTAGGTAAGTTTTATAACATTTTTTACCTCTTAAAACTCAACATCTAACTAGGTAAGTTATATAACATTTTGTACCTCTTAAAACTCAACATCTAACTAGGTAAGTTATATAACATTTTTTACCTCTTAAAACTCAACTTCTAACTAGGTAAGTTTTATAACATTTTGTACCTCTTAAAACTCAACATCTAACTAGGTAAGTTATATAACATTTTGTACCTCTTAAAACTCAACATCTAACTAGGTAAGTTATATAACATTTTGTACCTCTTAAAACTCAACATCTAACTAGGTAAGTTGATAACACTTTGTACCTCTTAAAACTCAACATCTAACTAGGTAAGTTTTATAACATTTTGTACCTCTTAAAACTCAACATCTAACTAGGTAAGTTGATAACACTTTGTACCTCTTAAAACTCAACATCTAACTAGGTAAGTTATATAACATTTTGTACCTCTTAAAACTCAACATCTAACTAGGTAAGTTATATAACATTTTGTACCTCTTAAAACTCAACTTCTAACTAGGTAAGTTATATAACATTTTGTACCTCTTAAAACTCAACCTCTAACTAGGTAAGTTATATAACATTTTGTACCTCTTAAAACTCAACATCTAACTAGGTAAGTTATATAACATTTTGTACCTCTTAAAACTCAACATCTAACTAGGTAAGTTATATAACATTTTGTACCTCTTAAAACTCAACATCTAACTAGGTAAGTTATATAACATTTTGTACCTCTTAAAACTCAACTTCTAACTAGGTAAGTTATATAACATTTTGTACCTCTTAAAACTCAACCTCTAACTAGGTAAGTTATATAACATTTTGTACCTCTTAAAACTCAACATCTAACTAGGTAAGTTATATAACATTTTGTACCTCTTAAAACTCAACATCTAACTAGGTAAGTTATATAACATTTTGTACCTCTTAAAACTCAACATCTAACTAGGTAAGTTATATAACATTTTGTACCTCTTAAAACTCAACATCTAACTAGGTAAGTTATATAACATTTTGTACCTCTTAAAACTCAACATCTAACTAGGTAAGTTGTATCACACTGTTTAACTCTTAAAACTCAACATCCAAATTGGTAAGTTGTATCACACTTTGAACCTCTTAAAGTGTTTTTGAATTATTTGCTATGGTGCTGTCATATATGATCAATGGAATGATACCGACGATACGGACAAGTGAATTGTCAAATTTTCGAGACAGTCTGTCCCTTTATCGAGACAAACATATTACATAAATTACATCACATACATAGAACATAAATCAAATACATAGTTATAAACTAAAATCGAGAGCAGGTCCCACTTGTATAAAACATCTCAACTTGAGATTTCCTCAAGTCGAGATTTTCCCCAGCTGATATCTCCTTGAAAATATCTTGTATGAAAATTCCTCAAGGAATTTCAGGACATCCTAGCCGATGCCTTCCTCCTGTTCCTTGAGAAAATTTGATACAAGCCGTTTTTGAGGAGATAGCTGAGGAAAATCTCGACTTGAGGAAATCTCAAGTTGAGGTGTTTTATACAAGTGGGGCCTGTAGTGTTAATTTAGGTGTCTCGATGATCCCTTCGGCCGATTGATGCCGAATGCCCATTATAGGGGCAAAACAATTTTATTGTATGAGAAATTGTGATTAAAATATCAAAAATGTTTTATATAAATATCGGTGCGTTGTGCACAGTAGATTAATATATTATTATTGTTATCGCGGCCATCTTAGAATTAGTCGTTCATCATTAATTGTGAGACAATTATATACAATAATTACAAAGAGGTTCTATTGTTTTTGTAGTCATTTATTTGTAGATGTTATACTTTGCCAATATCCAAACAGATACAACACATCCTCAACAGAATACAGAGACAAACATATACCATTAACTTAGATATGTAGACTCTCACATCATTTATATCGAAGACAAAAACAAAATGATTGATATCCTTATCTCGTGTATTTATCAAAAATTTTATTTATTAAACGTCCGATACGTTTATCATTAAAGTCTGCACGTTAGTTTAATTTTCGCGTGTTTAAAATACCAGCATTTTGATAAATTGTCAACATGCCAGATGTTCCCGGATGTACATTTTCTTTGATATCTGTTGTTACCTTCGCTGCTGTCTTCTCGTTATACTCCTGTAATATTCTTCGCTTATAAGTATCAACATTCTTGTCGACCGTATAACCTTAAAGGTATGTCATAATGATATATCAATCTGTCAAACTATCATACAACTTCCTATATTTCTTAATGATCTCCCAATAACAAAGCTTTAGGATACAATTTTCAGAACTTCTTAATCATCAGCAATATTCAAGCACACCTGATTCCAAATAATAATATTCGAAAATCTTCTCGTTTCCTGGTAAATCACATTTTGAAAATTTTTACCTTAGTAATCTCCAAAATCAATGAAATGTGATTTATTTATGTTGGTTGTTTATGAAACCCTTACACTTTCCTTTCTGTATATAAATATGCAAGTGACACATTTTGATACTGCCAAAAGTGTTCACTTACCTCCTTGGAACTTTTCCCTGTATTGATCTAATATTTCCCTGTATTGATCTGATATTTCCCTGTATTGATCTAATATTTCCCTTGATCTGATATTTCCCAGTATTGATCTGATATTTCCCAGTATTGATCTGATCTGTCCCCAGTATTGATCTGATATTTCCCTGTATTGATCTGATATTTCCCCTGTATTGACCTGATCTGTCCCCTGTATCGATCCAATATTTCCCTGTATTGATCTGATATTTCCCTGTATTGATCTGATATTTCCCTGTATTGATCGGATATTTCCCTGTATTGATCTGATATTTCCCTGTATTGATCGGATATTTCCTTGTATTGATCTGATATTTCTCTGTATTGATATGATATTTCCCTGTATTGATCGGATATTTCCCTGTATTGATTTGATATCTCCCTGTATTGATCTGATATTTCCCTGTATTGATTTGATATTTCCCTGTATTGATCTGATATTTCCCTGTATTGATCGGATATTTCCTTGTATTGATCTGATATTTCTCTGTATTGATATGATATTTCCCTGTATTGATCGGATATTTCCCTGTATTGATTTGATATCTCCCTGTATTGATCTGATATTTCCCTGTATTGATTTGATATTTCCCTGTATTGATCTGATATTTCCCTGTATTGATCCAATATTTCTCTGTATTGATCTGATATTTCTCTGTATTGATCTGATATTTCCCTGTATTGACCTGATCTGTCCCCTGTATTGATCCAATATTTCCCTGTATTGATCCAATATTCCCCTGTATTGATCCAATATTTCCCTGTATTGATCCAATATTCCCCTGTATTGATCCAATATTTCCCTGTATTGATCCAATATTTCCATGTATTGATCCAATATTTCCCTGTATTGATCCAATATTCCCCTGTATTGATCCAATATTTCCCTGTATTGATCCAATATTTCCATGTATTGATCCAATATTTCCCTGTATTGACCTGATCTGTCCCCTGTATTGATCCAATATTTCCCTGTACTGATCCAATATTTCCCTGTATTGATCTGATATATATACGATATCCTATTGTTTACCTCCACTTTAATCCTAAATTTGATCATGATTTGTTATGGTTTAGGATTCGCCATAAATTTATCTTAATCTTTATTGCAAACATTCATTTGTTTAATTTAATTTATTATTTATTTTCATTTAAACTTCGTCGACAGCCAATGTCATTTTCAGAGATCATTTGGATTTGTCGACATTCATCAATGAACTATTTACCATGATAAATAGAGGTTATTAGACAGCAGTGCATTCATCAGGGTAAGATGACTAAGGTGAAAATATTTCGCCCTGATAGGATAATAGAGGAATTAATGAGTGAACTATCAAAGTACTAGTGAACAAGTTGATGTAATTTGTATAACATAACCATTGTCATCATGTTTTACAGAGCGGATGAATGTATCCTGCGTACAAGGTACTATAATGAATTATGGACTGCCGTATGAAAATCTTACGTACGAATTTGCAAAAAAGAATCTCACCGAATGCAGTTACGAAAGCTTATACAAGACCTCTAGCGAAGAATACTTCACGTAAGTAATCTATTCACCAAACTGCAATTTGAAGATGTTTTAGAATCATTTAGAAACAAAAAACGCGCGGCGATTGATGGCTTTTTTAATAGAAGTTATATGAAATGAACAGCTGTTTATCTAACATGTCATTTTCGATACCCAGAACCTAGTTTTGACGTCAAAAGTTAGGTTTCTCATTCAGCTGACGTTAGCAGTATGATGCGAACACTTGTTTACAGAGACTACCACTGGTAAATGGCAGGCGAAGAAGGCACAGCTGATGGTAGTAGCGAGGAGACCATTAAATGCATTTCGCCCTCTTTTTACAGTAACTTTGTATTGAGACTGAATGAGGTTAAGACTATCGGAGATGTTGGCGAAATCAGCCCCAAATTGACAGTTACTCTGCTTATAGCTTGGATATTCATTTTCTTCTCTTTGATGAAAGGCGTCAAATCTTCCGGAAAGGTTGGTGTGCTTAAATTGTATCCATATATCGACAACATGCACACTTCCTGATTCATGTCATTATTCTCTGGTGAGTGTTGTAACCTATCCTGTCTTTGCACGATCAATGCCATTTTCTGATGATATTTAAAGAACTAAATTCCTCAATATATACCTCTAGGATCTACCCACAGAGAGGCGATGTGTCTGCAGTCCAATGTAGACAGGAGAACCTAGGATATGTATGATAAAGATTCCCTCATTATGTTGTCCAGTTAATATCAATCATGTTTTCATTATACCATTACACCTGCATCATCCCATCAGGAATGAAGGAAAGCTATCGCCTGTTAACTGTACGTGATATTAACACTTGGGACAAAGGAGACATCGGATGGCTGCTTCCATTTACGGCAATATGAGATTCTATTCAGCTTCATTGCACACTGATATCTGTTAATTCAGTTTGGTTATATTGAGATTTCTTTCTGTTTTGCTTTAGGTCATATACTTCACAGCTACCTTCCCGTATCTGGTGTTGGTGATACTGTTGATTAGAGGCGTCACACTGGAAGGTTACAAGAAAGGCATAGAGTTTTACATTGTGCCTAAGATGGAAGAACTGGCCAATCCGAGGGTACATACTTTACTTAGTCTTCATATTAGTTAGACATTTCTACTATAAAATGTAATGAAGAAATACATTCATTTTGCTTTCAATATATTTTATAGCTCATAATTTTACACTAAGATTGATAACAATAAGATACGTCAATTTCCATTTGTATTACAACCAGGGTTATATCTTTACAGCCATGGATTGATGCTGCTAGCCAGATTTTCTACTCCTTAGGACCAGCATTTGGAAGTCTCATAACAATGGCCAGTTATAACAAGTTCAAAAATAACTGTTATAGGTAAGTAGTCGGGAACTGTCCCCAATGTAATATATAGAAAACCGAATATCATATAGCCTGGTGTTTATCAATATAGGGTGTATGTATCAATATCAGATGGTAGAAGAAACGGTAACAGCTGAAGGACTATGAACATTTTTATGTAATCAGATATAATTTAATCGTTTGACAGATTATTGTCTTCTTTTGTATGTAAAGCTTTTTGATCCCATTCATGTAAGTAAATATTTAACATTTAGTAGCAATCTTTTGTTGATTATGCTGAATAAAAATTTTAAAAAAAACTAACTTCCACATATCTGTGTTTAATCTGTAGGGACGCCATATTGGTTTCCATTATTAACTGCGGGACTAGCGTGTTTGCTGGCTTTGTAATATTCTCTGTGTTGGGTTTCATGGCTCACCTGACTGGCAAAGATGTTAAGGACGTCGCTACCTCAGGTCTGTAATCACATTCAACTGTTAAATGTATACTGATAATCAGTACATTTTATATTATGTAGACTTTTGATATGCTACTCATTTCAGTGTGCAAGTGCCCATTTAATTATTATAAAACTATTAGGTAAGTTAGCTAAGGATCTTTAGGTGTTTTTTATAAGAAATGTAATACAGGAACGTTTTTGCAGCGCTGTCAGCTTGTTATCACTTATTCAAAATATCTAATTAAAATAAAGTGTGTCCTAATTATCCTGGCCTTGTATTCATTGCCTACCCAGAAGGTATTGCAAGACTGTCTCTTATTTGAGCCCAAGCTTATTGTAATGTTTTATTTTAGGTCCTGGCCTTGTGTTCATTGCCTATCCAGAGGGTATTGCAAGACTGTCTCTTATTTGAGCCCAAGCTTATTGTAGTGTTGTCTTTCATGTCCTGGCCTCATATTCACTGCCTACCCAGAGGGTATAGCAAGGATGTCTCTTATTTAAGCCCAAGCTTATTGTAATGTTTTATTTCAGGTCCTGGCCTTGTGTTCATTGCCTATCCAGAGGGTATTGCAAGACTGTCTCTTATTTGAGCCCAACCTTATTGTAATGTTTTATTTCAGGTCCTCGCCTTGTATTCATTTCCTACCCAGAGGGTATCGCAAGGATGTCTCTTATTTGAGCCCAAGCTTATTGTAATGTTGTCTTTCATGTCCTGACCTCATATTCACTGCCTACCCAGACGGTATTGCAAGACTGTCTCTTATTTGAGCCCAAGCTTATTGTAATGTTTTATTTCAGGTCCTCGCCTTGTATTCATTGCCTATCCAGAGGGTATTGCAAGGATGTCTCTTATTTGAGCCCAAGCTTAATGTAATGTTGTATTTCAGGTCCTGGCCTTGTCTTCATTGCCTATCCAGAGGGTATTGCAAGAATGCCTTTTCCTCCTATTTGGGCCTTCCTGTTTTTCTTCATGTTGTTGCTTTTAGGAATGTCAAGTCAGGTATTTTCTAATTAGTCTATCATTTTGAAACTTGAAATTATGTTTTTGATAATATTACCTCGGTTGTGCATTTTTAACTAATGTTTAAATATTGCAAATCATATCGTTAGAATCAAATTTTGCATTTTACTCCACGGTGACCTTAGTTTATTGCCACGATATCACTTGATACTCTGTTTAAGTTTGTTAAGTTTTCATGGTAAATGGTCATGAGAATAACATAATCTAAAATAATGGAAATGTTTAAATCAAAGTCCGTTTTGAAGACCATATACCATTTGACGTTACCCTTTTATCGTCTAATCTAATTTATTTCGGTCTTTACAGAACAAGAATGGTGACTCGATATGTATCGTAGATATTGTTATTGTTTACAGTTTGGAATGGTGGAAGGAGTTATCAGCGCCCTTTCAGATGAATTTCCAGGTGTATTACGTAAATATAAGCCATACTGGGTATTCTTTGTGTGTATGACGCTCTTCCTACTGGGACTAACTAACGTTACTCAGGTAAGTACTTCAGAGTTTGTTTCCTGTCGCTATCCAGAAAGATACTGGCATTTGCTCTGTATCCTATGAACGCGATGGGTTAAATATTAAGACTTGCTTTTAAGGAACTAGGACGTAAATTACAATAATCATTTCATTGGTTATACTCCCAATTAGTCCAAGGGTATATAATAATTATTCAAGCAGTTCATGCGTGACACGCACTGATTTTGGCTGATGGCCAACTGTATGTTAGGACCTTTAAAATCTATGAAGATGGACACTGGTGTCTCTGTAAGACATTCATCCTGTCAGAACTGTGTGATCTGTATAACCACCATTATATTGACAATTTCTTTATATTAGCATTAGTTTTATCTACATTTCGATCTTTTTGACATATTCTGTATATTTTAGCCTAAAGTTTGAGCCATCAATCTGGTTACGTTGGTTTTGTGAGATATGTGTATTTGTATATGGATTCATCACTAAGTATCGGTGTTTTGGATGTGTTACATGCTCACTTTTTGCCTTGGTAGGGTGGTATTTGGGTGTTGACACTGATGAACGATTACTCGGGCTCATATGGGATACTGTTCATTGCCTTCTGTGAGCTGAGTGCGCTGATGTGGTCATATGGTAAGTATCTCACGTAATCACATATTGCAAATAGACTGTTATTGTCATGTTTTATTCTTTGGTGTGCGCTAATATTTAACAGATCGAAATAACAATAAAACGTATCTTTCAGTTATAAGAGAAAATGTGCTGTTCAGTGGTGCATGTCCATTGTATGGTTCCCTTTCTTTGTCTTGTTTGGCGGTGTATTGCCCACACGTTTGGACGTTAAGGCTTTTTACTGCAGACAAGATATCATTTATGTCATTGGCATCCAACACATAAAATTCACAATGTCGGACAATTTTGTTCTTAAGCCTTCATTTGAAGTGTCATGAGGATATTCCTTTCAGTGTGTTACATTCTTTGTCGTGTGTCTGACGAAAACGACCTTGACATTGACAGAAGAAAAGCGTTTGGCAGAAAGAATTGCTATACTCACTCCTGTGCTTAAGTTATAATGTGATCACATGATAAGGGTTTTTTTTCTCTGTTCCGTAAGGGCATACTGCACTGCTATTTTCCTCTCAATGGTTACAAAATAACTATATCTTTCCCCATCTTCACGATTTTATACACGATCTTTGCTGGACAATCCACTGCCAACAAAGGAGATGATATACAAACAAACTTAATAAATTGGCAACATATTACAAGAATGATATGATATATATGTCGTCTAATTTGACAGGCTACAAAGGTCACTGAGTTATCCCCCTTTGCCCAGCAATAATGCATGTTAAATTGTTAAATCACAAGTGATTAGCTCTTTATAAATTTTGAACCTGAGTCAATATTCATAGCAATGCAATACATTGAGATAATCTACTATTTCAGGACTGACAAATTTCTGTGATGATGTTGAAATGATGCTGGGATTTCGACCAAATATCTTTTGGAAAGCTACATGGACAGTTATATCTCCGCTCATCGTTCTTGTATGCAAATTTCACATTTCTTTTATTAACAATATTAACACCATTTAAAATATTTAAACTTATTTGTATATTTCTCATATTAAGGGATGGTAACTTATTTGGATCTTTCTCATGTTAAGGGATGGTAACTTATTTGGATCTTTCTCATATCAAGGAATGGTAACTTATTTGGATCTTTCTCATATTAAGGGATGGTAACTTATTTGGATCTTTCTCATATTAAGGGATGGTAACTTATTTGGATCTTTCTCATATCAAGGAATGGTGGTTTATTTGGATCTTTCTCATGTTAAGGGATGGTAACTTATTTGGATATTTCTCATATTAAGGGATGGTAACTTATTTGGATCTTTCTCATATTAAGGGATGGTAACTTATTTGGATCTTTCTCATATTAAGGGATGGTAACTTATTTGGATCTTTCTCATGTTAAGGAATGATAACTGATTTGTCACATGTACCATTGTATTGTGCTCATTATCTTTATGTCTATTTAGTATTTTTTAATGTTAGCTGTATATAGTGTGCTACTTTTGTGTTGGTTCATCATCCCTTAGGGGGTCAATGAGGATTGTTTAATAAAAAAGCAATCAGAAGTTCCATTGAATGTAAAAACAGTGTTCTTTTCATTGTTTCAAAGAATTCGGTATCAAGTTTAAGAAATCAAGTAAAAAACCAGTAAGGACTTAAAAGTACACCGTCACAAATGTATAAATAGTCAGGCCACATATGGCATTGTATTAAAATACCTGGACCTAAAAGTTGTCACAATATACAATTATACGCATTGGATATTATCATTTTACCCCATCGATTATTTTGATATGAACCCGTTTTGAAATTTCATTTACACGTTACTGTTGTGTTAGATTTTATATATACTGATACATTGTTTTATGCAGCTTTTTGTGAAAACTTTTTTTCTCTAGGCAATCATTGTGGCTTCCCTTGTACAGTTCGCACCGTCCGTTTATGGTGATTATGAGTTCGAGAGCTGGGCACAAGGAATAGGTTGGGCTATGGTGGGACTTCCGGTTTTATGTATTGTCTTCGTGGGTATTATTCAGCTGGTTTCATACGGGGTAAGTACTTATATACATGATTAAAGTTGGCATCATATACGATTTTATTTCTCAGTATAATGTAAACGAATTTCGTATATAAAGATATACCCTTTGAGGATTTTCTTTTGATCATCACTGCATCCGTCATCAGGGCACTTGCTACAATAAGATTTAATTGAAATAAAGCATTTATCGTTGACTAGAGCCACATGAATGTCTTTCAGGCCATGTGCCTTGCCTGTGCTCGGTGTTTATGACTTTATTAAAATTTACAATGACAAATGCAAACTAGAGGAAATTGTGCTACAGCGTCAATACTGTAGAACAAAATATACCCTACAGCCAGCGCAATAGGAACAAATATACAGAATACGATATTGTGGCCTACCATGTCTGTTTTGTTGGTCCTTTCAGGGATAGTTTGTTCTTTTTGTTCGTCAGTGTGTATTGACGATATGGCGTATGTGTCCGTGTGTGATGAAGGTATAGCGTACGTGCTGGTGTAAGATGACATTAATGTGTACGTGTCCATATGTGAGGGCGCTTTGGTGTACCTGCCTGTATGTGATGACACTGCTGATATGTTTTGTCTTTGTACCCGGAATACTTGGTAAATTTGTCCTGATATATTTTTTCATTTGATCCCCTGATTGTACCATGATGAACTCGTAGTTGTACGTACATTATTTTAGGGGTTTAAAGCTGCTATGACACCATTGGATTCCTGGGGACCAGCAGAAGAAGAATACAGGACAGGCAGATACTCAGATGCTTATAAGCGAGCAAATGTAGAGTCTCATGGATCAGATAATAATGGGTACGTGTTAGACGACCAGCATCCGGGAAAGGAAAAGAATGGACATCCCACTGTGGAAATGACGGAGATCGTAATGGATGATAGATTATAGAGTTTGTGGCTACTACATCTTCATTGGATCAACTACTCAACAGATGTAGTGAAACAATGATCCAACTGTGTTACAATGATATCAAAACAACGAACAACCAACCCTAAATCAGCAATAAGAACCTGAACAATGTGGGCCTGATATCCAGTGTACACAGAGGCATTACTGTATTTATATAAGTGTTTTATTACTTTATAATCAGCATCTAATAAGACTATCTTGTATATAGAGAAATGAATAACACTTCGATGTTAAACGTTAATCAATTATTGAAATTCAGAGACTATATTAGTCCGGAAACAAACTTTGTTTTACCCTGTCACTCTTTGACGTCGAAATCAATCATGTTTAAAAATAGTTCTGATACAAATGTTCTAAAATCTGCAATAGTATATCTCTACTAGCAAGGATATTAAGTATGCAATGCAGTTTGTCATTGTGATGGCATTTTAGTTGTTTTAAAGTTTTAAGAATGATGAGTTCAGATTTTTATTTATTTAACAATCAAATAAAGTGCTGATGAACTCCGGGGAAACATAACAAGATGTATTGGTCGGATAAAAGAGTTATCAGCTATTTCGTTGTTTCGCATTTGTTGGGCGCATTTTATTTCATCACAGACATGCGTGTATAGGAACGTTAACTTCGTATGTTAATAGTCTATTCACTTGTATAACTGGAAGTCTTGATATATCAATGCTATAAACATTTGTTCCCTTTAAGTGATGGGTTTTTGTGGATATTCCACTATAGTTTTCACTTGAGCGAAACATATTCAATTACAGGTAAAAACCGGTACAATTATTATTGCAATTAGTACATTCACCATAAAACATAAACGTATCGGTTAGATATTAACTATGACCAGTTTGATATTCCATACGTGTAGATCGTAGACTTACCGGAATGTCAAATTGTATTTTTTTAACTCTTTATTATATATGCTGTCATTTACATTGCTTTAATCCTTTGTTTAGGTAATGGTGTTTAAACTCAAGCTATGAGTGAAAGACTGATTGTGCAATCACATCTTAACAAAGGACGGAAAAATTGATCGCAGAATAAAATTGTGAGGCTTTCTGTATTCCCGTCAGCAACCACATATAAAACCAAAATGTGAAGCATGCTGTATTTAGGTAAATCATCTATACACATAACTGAAATGGGAAGGTTGCTTTATTTACGTGAATTTTCTATACATTTAAGGAAATTGTGAAACTTGCTTTGTTAACGTGAATCTTTTGTATACATAATTAAAATGTGAAATATGCTGTACCTCAGTCGACCATCTTTATATATTATTTGATTACCATGGTCCTAAATAATTCAAACAGAACAAGTGAATTGATAAAACACAATTTTATTACTAACTGTTTGTCTTATCATTACAGTAACATGAAATATAACATGATTAAAATGTGACAAATAACTAATATTCCTAACTGAAAACCTTGTACATAATGACTATTGTAAAAATGCTCAGATTTATTTCGCCTGAAAGATGGGATGAGATGATAACTAATTGTGAAAAGCTGACGTAATGAGATATTTGACGATTGTGTTGTACCTGACTACATACAGTAGTTCCTGCTCTAATTGTAACCTGTGTTAACTGATAGTTTTTTCTCTACAAAGCAAACCGTCTTGATTTTCAGACAATTCAATTAGCGTTGAAAATTCATATAAAAATTAATTAAAGGAATTAGTTTCATAACAGGGTACAGGTATAATACGTTATAAACGCCGGTGATATGAACTGCTTACAAAAATGAATTTATTTACAGACTAATTACAAATGTTAATTAAGAATCAATTGAAAAGTTATTCCGTAGGTATATTCTGCCCCAGCATAACAGTTGTTGACGGATGCCTGTCTTGACATCATATGAACAAACAAACATATAAGAATTGGAAACTAATATACAGAATCGATCAATAAGATTTTATACAAAAGAATGGCACTTTGTGTCATAACTTGTTTCTCCGTGTCGTCTGTTAAGGTTCGCATTACAAAAACATCGTTTTGAAAGTGTGGTCAGGTCCCTGCAAATAAAAGTTACCTTTATACAGGTTTTGAATATATACCTGAGTGTTTATACCTCAATCATTAAGTGTTTGACGCTAAAGACGTAAAAGTCAATCCAATATTAAATTATTTTCACAAAATGTGTCTTTTTTTAAATCAATTCGATACGAATGGAAGAAAAAGAACGAAAATCTTAATATCACATCTTACCTGGTTTCCACCTATGGTAATTCCGTATCTCATGTGATTTATGTCTTTATTTGTATTAACTATGTGTCTCACCTGATTACTGTCTATAAATGGTGTTCATAGTATATCTCAATTGTTTTAGATTTATACTGATGCCAAATGTCTGTCTCTCCTGGTTTACTCTTATTTTGATGTTAATTACGTTTCTCACCTCATATCAATACATCAATGCTTATCTCCTGATTGACACCTAAATTAATGTTTAGCAACGTGTCTCACTTGGTTAATACCTATATTGATGTTAGTTACGTGTCTCACTTGGTTAATACCTATATTGATGTTAGTTACGTGTCTCACCTGGTTTACACCTATATTGATGTTAGTTACGTGTCTCACCTGGTTTACACCTATATTGATGTTAGTTACGTGTCTCACTGGTTTACACCTATATTGATGTTAGTTACGTGTCTCACCTGGTTTACAACTATATTGATGTTAGTTACGTGTCTCACCTGGTTTACAACTATATTGATATTAGTTACGTGTCTCCCATGGTTTACACCTATACTGATGTTAATAACTTGTCTTTCCTAAGTAACAGCTGTATTAAAATTATTTATTTTACCTGATTTACATCTATGGGTTTCCATTCCGTCTACAGAAACAGTCTTTACAGACATCACATACACCAGAGTTGGCCAGAACTTCAGACACGTAGAATGTAGTGGATTGCTTACCTAAATAAACGAAAATGATTTAAATCCATTTACAACAATAAACCAGTCACTTTATCTCACTGAACAGGTCTATAAATAAATCCATGCTTTAGCCATATATATAATAATATAAATTCTTCATAAATGCTTCACTTACAATGATATAGCAATACATTATATATCTAAACGACTCTGCATTCAGTATAGCAATTATAAAAGGGCGCTACTGTGTTGTATTTTAAGGAGTTGCTTTCAGATTATAATCATGATGACGTTGTATAATGCTTACTGGTGTCGTAGTAATCGTATATCTTAATCGGAGCAGGCTTCTGTTCTGCGACCATGTCGGTTCTCATCATGTAAACACTAACACACTGTGGCTCTGAATTAAACTGGAAACAGAAATGAGAAAAAAATTATACACTAGTAGTCCCCCAAAGAAGCTTTTGACTATAACATATACGGGTAGACATAAGATTTCTTTTATGTTCTATCAAAATATATCTTATGTTAGTTTTCCTTTATATACATATTTGTATAAAGTACACGATCCTCAGTCCAGTGGTTACCAAACCTTAATACCTGATTTTATTGGAATATAAGCTGAGATTTGTGAAAATATTTTGATATCTTGAACAATATTCAATGTTTCGATTAATGTTAATAAGATGATTGATGATAACAGATAACTTAAGCACATGTTATAAACAATCTCTTCTTTTGAATCAAGGCACCTTTAAAGATTCATAGTGTGTGTTTGTATCAAGATACCATACCAACTTCATGCAAAATTATATCACTTTTCAAATGTTTAGGCAGACTCACACAAAACAATACATTATTTCTGTCCTACCTGATATAACTAAAACAAAATTTTGAAAAGGAAATTCTAAAAATGGTTTCGTACCTCATCAAAGTATAGAACTAATCCTCTAGCTGCTTTCTCCATGCGTTTGTAATCTGGTGCTCTTGTAGTATCAAGTGTATCTCCATCCGGTTCCATACCACTGGGGTAACCAATTTCTATAATAGACATGCCACTGGCACCCTTCTTCATCCATCTGTAATATAAACCCCATACAAAATGCTTTGACAGTGATATAAAAGGAAATACGCTTAATTGAAAACAGACGAAAATTCATAAATAAAATGCATAAAACATATTATCAAACAAATAGAAATAATCGTTGTTTGAACATGTGAAGAGACACTTTACTCATGACTCATAGTTGGTACTTACCGTCCACAGACTTCTACAACAAATCCTGTCATACTCTCCTCTTTTAATGTCACGTTCACGTCAAAAGACTTCACTTTCAAATCATCTATCACATTGAAGTAGGTGGCGACCTACACACAAAATAATGTTCAAACATGACTCCACAAAATACTTCCAACGCAATACACACTAATTGGAATAATTAGATAAAACCATAATAGAGTACAAATCGGATACAGTATTTCTACCAGCAAGTATCAAGACTATAAGAAACGCCATATTTGAAAGTAATGAACTTTTACATATCTGTTTATCTGGTTTTTATCTCACCTCGACAACAGCCATTCCTACTCCTTCCGCTGAGATCTCTACCAACCGCAAACTTTCTGGTATCTAATTATTAAACAGAGATCACATCCTTTTGTCATAAAACGTAGATTTACATATAGTCAAATTAGACGAATGATCCAATAATGATAATGATCAATCAATGCAATTCATTAAAATAAAAAAGTGTCAATAATTAAAGATACATAGGAGCCCTTTTACAGCGACAAAAACATTATTCAATAATGTATCACTGTCATTGGCATACTGTAACAGTTTCTTAATTTACAATAAAATAAGCAAGCACCTGTATAATTACCTAGTCGCGACGATATATATCTCTCATATAAATCAGGTGATAATAACCTAGTCACACTGCTGCCTATAAGCTTACAAGTGAGTTAATGATAATCAAGTCATACTGCTACCTATATACTAACAAGTTAGCTAATGAAAACCCAGTCATACTACTACCTATATACTTACAAGTTAGCAAACTTGGTCATACTGTTACCTATATACTCACACACATACAGTATAGGGGTAACAGTGTGATTTTATAGCATGTAAATACAATATGAATCAGTTTATCAAAAGCGAATACACTTACGTCAGTAGTTTGAAAAATAAGAGCGTTTTCTGGTGACACTTGAAATTCATGGAAGATATCTTGTGTTTCGACATTTTTCAGCTGGACTCTCATGTTAAATTCTGGTTTGTAGATTAAGACTGCAAGATCAGCTAGGGATTGCAGTGCTATAATAGTGTCCTAAAAGTAAATACATCATCATGAAATAATAATATTAATAATGTATATACATACAAAGCGATCACCAAAGTACAGTACTTAAATAATGACACATTATCATTTTGTAGAAATAAAATGGTATGATTGGTACAGAACTAATACTGTGAGGAGTAACCGTCTTTCAGACATTGCACAAAGGCCATTGTTCGAGGCTATTTACCTGTGTGGACGAAAAACCACCTTCTGGATTTCTCTGAGCTGAGAGCCATTTTAATATCTGTAACGCGTTTTCTGTGTCAGGTGTTCGAGTGTATATCATCATAATATAGGACGTGAGCTCTATGTCTATTCCGTTAGATTGTATGTGTGATGGGCGCCACCTATTGAAGACAGCTTGTGGTTCTTCTTCTGGTCTTGTCCAATGCATTGTTCCATCTGGAACGTAGAGACAAAATCAAGTGAAGATCATATATATATATATCTGTTGTGATAAAAATTGTATCAAGTTTACCCTGATGGCGTATACAGCAAAAGCTAGTTATCCCTTCAATACTTAACTGCACTAAAGCAATATAAATATATAAGTGTTGTATCTCGCGTACCTTAATGGCGGATACACATATGACGTTTCAAACGACTAAATCAAATAAAGATATTATATGATTAACACAAAATTTACAACTCAAAACCAGAAAATCTACTGACCCTAACAAACGACACGTGATTGATGCATTACAAAGGGGAGAGACTAATGGATAAAGTCCTAGAGCAGTAGATAGTTTATCTAATAGTCACTTATTTCAATGAAATAAAACAACGTTTGTTTTTAGTATTCCGTGTTTTAGAAGTGCCATTAAGAATATCATATACTTATACACATATGGACTTCTCTGTAAAGTACATTGTATTCAGTACAGTACATGAAACTAAGACAAAATATGAACTAAAGTAAAGATTTACGTGGAGACTAATGATAAAACATTAGGAGAATAAGACCAGGTGTTCTGGAAGAATGTTTCTGCTTCATCGATAGTGCCCGCCATGTAAATTTTGGTCAACGCAAAATCCGTAATTCTACGTTTCCAAATAAAAGTAGGGTAAACAGCATGCATAGAAGGATATGACCAAATATTACCATTACCTAAACCACTGACGAACGAGCTTGTAATAAGAGCTTACCCCTCTATTTATTATATCTTTGCTGTCCCAATAGAGAAACAAGCACGTGTTATCGCTACTTATACCACTGAGAGACAAGCCTGTGATAATACCAGCTCTCTTGCATTGATACAATTACCATTGATTGCAAAAGATGTTTAAAGTAGTTACCCTCTTGTACTGCATTCATTACTATCGGTACCATGGCTTTCTCCACTTTAGCACTGCCTGACAGAGACAGCGCATACCCAATAATGGCCAACTCGTACACATCCACGTTCAAAGGTGACATCGCCATCGCTTCTACTTCGTCCTCCAGGAATCCTAAAGCAAGAGCTCTGGCCTTCGCGGTCGTCTCGTTTACCTGATTATCGTAAAATACCTCACCATATAAATCTAAATAACACGAACGAAAATGATATAGGAAAACATTGCTATATTTAACTTCATCACATGATCATTTCTAGATAGATAATTTAGCAAGAAATAAAACAAACAAAAAATAAAAGTTCAAATAAATGCGAAAACAAGGAACTTCGGTCGAAAAAAAAACTGCAAGTCATATTGCTACATTATATTATCGGATGTATCCAATATCAAAAATTTTATTTGTGGAAGATGTGTCATTCAACCAATAAAATATTTACACGTAAGTCTTTGAAAACATACAATTAGACCAGGTATTCTAATTCAACTTCGACACCTGCTGTGCAATTTTGTTCAATCAAAGTAATATCACGTTCCCAAATGAGAAACAAGCTAGCGACAACGGAACCAGCAGTAAACACATCCAATTTCATATCGCGCAGAAAAACTGAATATTCTCCAATCAGGCGATGTTGCCTGTAAAACTTTCTCCATAATCGTCATCAACCTGCATCACCTGAGTCCATCTGTCAGCTGTCGGCGATATTCGTGATATTAGGGAACTATTAATTGCATTTTAAAAAATAATGCTTATGCTTCTTTCTAATTATTGATAACAACATTAACTTACCCCTGGGATAACCCCGGCTGCTTCTGTCAATGCAATTAGCACGAATGCCGTCAGTGAGGATTCACCAGAAGCAGAACCGCCCTGAAAATCAAGTTATGGATACAATTAATTGACTGTTAGACTTATAAAGTTTGTTATTTACTGTTTACGAATTTCTGAATATACATCATCCTTGAGAGGCTACCTTTCCAAATCATTTTATTTTGTCCCGAATCTCGGTATACATTACGTTCGCTATAATATATAGCGAGGACGCAAAATGATAACACGTAATAAACTACACCACGTTGTTTATTGTCGAATCTCATTTTAATGTAATTTTGTATTACATGTTTTTGGCATTTATTTTAGTGACATCGATTCCTTGAAGGACAAATATATCTTTTTATGATACAGTTTAATGAATTTGCTATTCTTTAATAAAGTATCAAACCATGAAGAATAAAAATGTATTATTCTCTTGCGTGTCCTTTGTACAGCCTTGCTTTGTTCCACCACAAGTAGAGAAGTGCATGATTTTGAAAAATTATATGATATAATACATATTATTTCGATGCAGTTGACGATCAAATGTAGCAGAGCCTTATTAATCTACTTCTTAGAGAAAAACATCAAAGTTCACAGAGGAGTTCAAGTTAATTGAATAAGAAAGTAAAAATGCTTTATTTTCATTCGCTGTTAACTTGTACTAATAAATAGTGCATCTGAATCTGTGAAAGAGGTCCATACTGCATACCTGCATAGCCTTGTGAAGCACTTTCCCAGGTTCGTTGAATGTTCCATTAATATTTTGTTGATCAACAAGCCATTGGACAGCCTTCACGACCGCATCGTTATCTATATTGATCATGTCAGATGCTTCGGCGAACGATTTCACAACAAAAGCCGTCAACCTATCAAACGACGTGTAAATGATTTCACTTTTACGAAAGCTGTTAATCTGTCAAAGGTTTGGTAATCGATTTACCTTAAAAATTGTTTTCCTTTTTAATTTTAGACGAGTAGATGATTTCATTGCAAACGCTATTAGCCTATCAAAGGACGAGTTCACCACTTCATTAGGAGGAGTACACTATTTCATTGTAAATGTTCTCAATTTATCAAATGACCAGTAGACTGTTTCGTTGCAAAATTCTTATCCTGTCAAAGGACGAGTAGACCACTTCATTGCAAACGTTCTTTATCTAACAAAGGATGAATAAACCATTTCATTGCAAAAGTTTTTAACCTGTCAAAGGTCAAATAGAACGTTTCATTGCAAAGTTCTTAACCTGTCAAAGGTCGAGTAGACCACTTCATTGCAAATGCTGTTATCTTATTATATCACATTTAGACTGAGGAAACATGACGGCAACAAGTGTATACATAATTATAACTTAAATAAGGACAAAATATCGGGAAACTATGTAAAAGTAGAGATTCTCGAGTAGACCATTGAAAAACACCAAGAACATTTTTATAGGGTATTTCTAAATGGTAAGCGTCTTCTGCATGTAACACTGTCACTTATAAGTCAGTGCTATTATCGGAGGAGGAGCTGGTCATAAGGTGATGGTTTTTAAAAATTAGTTTAGGCATTGCATCGATAGCTTAACAGAGAAAACCAAAAACCCAGAGTAGAGATAATTAACAGATAACATAATGAATGATATGTAAAATGTAACACGTACCACGTAGTCCCAGATTTGTCACTTTCACCAAAAGCACTAAATGAGCCGTCTTTGTGCTGATATGTCATTTCTCTTTGGTAACCTTTTCAAAACAGAAGTATTAATACAATCAAATGGAAAAGAAAATTTTCAAATATCAAATACGAAACCCGTGACAAACTTTTCCGGAAAGGTATGAGAAAATGACTTATATATGTCACTCGAAAATTTACCTTTATCATATTATTTACAAGAAGCATCATAAACACTTGATCAATATAAATGAAAAAAATATGAAAAAAATGACAAAACACACGACTACCCGCATGACCTTTCTGTCTTCTTCGGCTACTTAAGGCCTGGAGAAGCTAAATGGCAGGCAGCCTTTGGGAGTGTAAAGTTTGTGTCATTTTTTTATATCCTTTTTAAGGAATTATTTTTGTTGTTTTTACCGTAGTAGATACAAAATGCGCGACGAACCTTTTATCATATACTCCTTTGATTTAGCATCAATGGCCGGTGTCAGTTTATTTGTGATAGTCAGATAACGTCGGACGAAAATGTTAGGAGCAAAATTCAACATATTCTGTTCACCACATCCATAGGGCATCTTCAGGAGTTTTTCTATTCCATTTATAGAGGGTCCCATGACATCACCTATCAAAATCACAAATATTCTTTCGATAATGTGAGACTAAAACGTTAACATGTATGTATTGAAATGGTGGTAATGTGGTTTTGATATAGTGACCACAACAGTTGCATTCCATCAAGATTAGCGTAGCCTCTGTGGACAAGATAACCAGTATTAGCGCTAATGTCACCTGTAATTAAATATACAAGAGGACGTGACATTCAATCTGATAATGCTGATGCTATCGAATGTTTTCTTTTACATGAAATATAAAACGATATAGAACTATTCATCAACCAAAATACTTTCGTCAACCACTTTTCAATCGAAGTGAAATCATTTTTTTCTTATCATATGATCGTTGACGAATCAAGTGTAAAATTACTTTCCAATTAAAATTATTCACTGATATCAAAGCTATTAATACATGCTTACGTACCAATAACAGCAGCCCGCACGCGCTTGGAACCATCCACAGCATTTGGTGGGAAGTCAATAGGAATTCTTGTCTTAAAGTTAGCAGCAGAGGCAAGGTCAATAAGTACTGGGTTGTTAAACTCTTCTGGGGTTCCCTCAGGCTGTAAGAATGGAGATATAGGTAAGGTGTACATGACATTGTTTACTATACCAATATATCGCACTTTATATTTTTAAAGATTAGTTGATATTATACAAATTTAAGCGTATCCATTTCAAATATAAGATTTCCTCCTCCCTTCTCAGTGATATGGAAAACGATTACAAAACAGGTGATTCGCGATCAATTACTCCATTGGTAAAATTATTCCATTGCATGTGAACCCTTACTACTGCGAATCTAGTCATCCTGACAAGTATAATTCTGTTTTCAGTTAGATGAGCATATGACTAAGGTATTAAGTAAGGTACATGTATTGTTGAAATCACTCCTACGCTTACCTCCACACGTAGTTTTCTCTCCACCGAGTCAGAAAATTTCAATCCAAAAGCGTTGATTTTGATTTGGAGATCTCCAACTTTCCTAGGTATAATGGGGAAAAATGCAGAAGCAACCTTTCCACTTTCAACCTGAGGAGGCAGGTAAGAAATGTAATCATTTAGTTATATATTTGTTAGCAATAGTTTTACATAAGTCAGATATCTACCGGAAATATAACACAGTGATAACATTGTATCAATTAATTTAATAGTAAAAATATCCTAATATAACAGTTATAACTATGTAATTATTAATAGAAAAATAACAATGTGTCGATGTATATAATTTGCTTAACATTGGTCTTTTAAAATCAATGTCTTCGTGATGCAGCATTAGTTTTAAGCATATTACAATTCGGAGCACGCTGTCTTGGTTTAGTAAGAAACATATTTTCGTTCAGTTATGCCAAAAAATCCATCTCTTGGTACGCAAGTGCTGTGAATGTAGTACTAGATAAGTTGATACTTACCCACATCCACCTGCCGACCCTGGTGGAGTAGTCTGTCCACCCTGATTGAGTGGATACCACATTGTTTATGTCAGGATTATTCTCCATGACGACGAGAGTCTGTAAACACGATGGTAAATGTATATTAATGTTCGATCTCATTGCGATAAATTTGTCCATTATGAACAGGAACTAGATAAGAACCATTCATGTTACACAAAATTAGTTAAAACAGTCCGCATCGGTGTCGGCAATAATGGAAATATTTCACGAAAAAATATATTAATTAAGTATCTTTGATAAAAATTTTCAGGTCCAGAATAATTAGAAAAGATTCTTAATTAAAGCACAAACAAACGCCAAAAAATTATCTCAACCTGCATAACACAGGTCACCAATGTATTGTACACATCGTAAGCTAAAACCCACAGGATATAATCGTCCAAAAATTATTAAACGGAGAAAAGATATTTGTAAACGTTTTTACTTATCACATCAGAAACATCATCCTTGAAATATTTAGAACCCATCAATACATCTAGGTACATATAAATATATATGTATTGAACGTTAGCAAAACACATATTTTTGTTTTGTTTTGTTAGTATGTCCTGTTTATATCAAAGTATTGATATATGATATGCTGTCCGGACTTACCCATGCCGGTCTACGGTAATTAAATACATCGACTTGAAGGACGAGTAACTCTCCTCTAACAACAGAATACGGGAGATTCATCCGGATAAAGAATGGCATGAACACTTCTAGCTGAAACGGTACAAAAACAATGTAACACTAATCCTTATCATAGTACAGTGTATATATCACTGATATTTCTGTTGCCATAGGAACACGGTAAACTTGCAACTTTACCGAAGCATTTTAGACCAATGGAAACACGAGGTACAAGATTAAAACTTTTCAGGTAGGTCAAGGGATGACGATGGTAGAAGCAGATAATGTCCAAGGAAGGAATAAAATAATTTTTATTTAGGACTGTCTTACAGAAAAGTACTGTAATGCTTATCACCACGATTAGTGCTGATACTCGAGAATGTGTACGTAAATGATGTTTTATCACCGAAATTGTTAATAATTTACTTGCGGATTTCAGAAGGCGTTATTGTCATTTAGACGAAAATGTAGATATTTATACCCAGCCAGGTTAAATAATTGGTTTGTTTGTTGGTTTTTCATCTGCCTGACTCTTTCTTTTTCTAGACGTTTACAAAACGTGGAATGTCAGTGTTCTAGCGACGAATCTATTATCCTTATCATCATAACAGGTAAAGAGATATACCAGATAAAGGTTGTATAGCAGTAACAATAGAGATACTTAAATCATCGCAGCTGATATAAATCATCTGTAAACATTGTCTACAAGGAAAGCATACATATACTGGGTACCAAAACTAAATCTCGTCAAAATGGAGTCCAGCAGAGCATGTGTAAAACATAGAATACATCACTGAGAAGTCCTCCAATATGCTGACACTGACACACTGTACCTACGTTTGATGGGCTCGGAGCGAGTCCAAGACCGGTATCCTTATTAACGGCAAAAGCGGTGGCCACCCAGGACGTGATAGTATCGGGGACAGTAACTGTGAGTTCTGTCTGGCCATTGTTTCTGTCAACACAAATTATTTTAAATGTAACTATCACAATTAGACATTCAATAAAGACTTAAATATTTCACGTTTCAAATAAAGAACTGGTTCGAGCGACTAATAACTGTACTTAGGGACACCTAATCTACAGGATAGAAAATGACCCTGATTACATACCATGCTACCCATTACAAATATCGATATGGAATTTAAAACGATTTTAGGTTTTGTACAAATATACTAGTTGAATCTACAACAGAAATGATTGTCTGAACCTCAACATTTATCTATATGTTGCCAAGTATAGGCATTATGATATAGTGAATTATTTAATCAGTTGTACTTACAATCAAAACACGATCGTTTATTTCATACTGTGGACTTAGCTTAATGCCAAATTTCCCACACCAAAATAAAATAGTATTCTAATTCGTCATTTGTGACCGTCATCGCTCATCATAAAACACCTAAATCCATGTAAGTGACCGAGCTTGCATAACAATGACATATGTAAGGTTCTCCGACTGTAATCGTTGTTCCCACGTGAAACCAAATTTTCATGAAGTAGTGGTTCGTCGCGTGAAACCACAACTTACTCGAAGCCATTGGTTCGTCACGTGAAACCAAACTTTCATGGAGCCCGTGGTTCAACACCTGAAACCAAACTTACACGAAAGTCATGGTTCGGTTACATGTAACCAAACTTACATTAAGTCCTGGTTCCACATATGTAACTTAATTTTCATGAAAACGTGGTTTGTCATGCTAAACCATGCTTACATTAACTCTTGGTTCGTCACGTGAAACCAAACCTTCATGAAGCCCGTGGTTTGTCACGTGAAACCAAACCTTCATGAAGCCCGTGGTTTGTCACGTGAAACCAAACTTACATGAAGCCCGTGGTTTGTCACGTGAAACCAAACTTACATGAAGTTCGTGGTTTGTCACGTGAAACCAAACCTTCATGAAGCCCGTGGTTTGTCACGTGAAACCAAACTTACATGAAGCCCGTGGTTTGTCACGTGAAACCAAACTTACATGAAGTTCGTGGTTCGATATATGTAACAAACCTTCATGAAGCCCGTGGTTTGTCACGTGAAACCAAACTTACATGAAGTTCGTGGTTTGTCACGTGAAACCAAACTTACATGAAGCCCGTGGTTTGTCACGTGAAACCAAACTTACATGAAGCCCGTGGTTTGTCACGTGAAACCAAACTTACATGAAGTTCGAAACCAAACTTACATGAAGCCCGTGGTTTGTCACGTGAAACCAAACTTACATGAAGCCCGTGGTTTGTCACGTGAAACCAAACTTACATGAAGCCCGTGGTTTGTCACGTGAAACCAAACTTACATGAAGTTCGTGGTTTGTCACGTGAAACCAAACTTACATGAAGTTCGTGGTTTGTCACGTGAAACCAAACTTACATGAAGTTCGTGGTTTGTCACGTGAAACCAAACTTACATGAAGTTCGTGGTTTGTCACGTGAAACCAAACTTACATGAAGCCCGTGGTTTGTCACGTGAAACCAAACTTACATGAAGTTCGTGGTTTGTCACGTGAAACCAAACTTACATGAAGCCCGTGGTTTGTCACGTGAAACCAAACTTACATGAAGCCAGTGGTTTGTCACGTGAAACCAAACTTACATGAAGTTCGTGGTTTGTCACGTGAAACCAAACTTACATGAAGCCCGTGGTTTGTCACGTGAAACCAAACTTACATGAAGCCCGTGGTTTGTCACGTGAAACCAAACTTACATGAAGTTCGTGGTTCGATATATGTAACAAACTTACATGAAGTTCGTGGTTCGATATATGTAACAAACTTTCATGAAGTGGTTCGTCACGCGAAACAAATTTACTTGGAACCATTGGTTTAATAAATGTAACCAAACCTACATGAAGCATTATTCGTGTCGTGAAACTAAACATACATGAAGCAAATGGTTCGTCACGTGAAACCAAACTTTCATTAAGTCCATGGTTCGATAAATGTAACCAAACTTACATATTGTTACGGTTAGTCATACGTAACCAATTTTACATCATGTCGTGGGCTGTCACATGTAACCCAACTTACCCAGTTGAGACATTCTCCCATAGCCAAGTTTCAGGAAACTTTGTCCTAACTCTTTTCACTTTGGCTAGTTTTACTGTTGGGGGAGGTTTTGCAGCGGAACTTCTCATCATCATTCTGTTGCCACCACCTGCCATATTCATCATCGGTACTGGTCTACCACCGTCGAGTAAAACTCCCCTTTCCATCCCTACAGTATTAAACAATGAGTACGGTACACGTTTACATACCCCAATTGAACGTTTTCCCAAAGCCATGTTTCTGGAAACTTCTTGCGAACACGCGTCGGTTTTGCCAGTTTCGATTCTTTCGGCTTGACCCCTGACTTCTCCATTGGTGCTGATTGCAGATCCATATCTACGGGAGAATCCATCATGGCCATAGCTCCGAAGGCCATCATTGGCATGTTATCATACCGTCCGTCCCCTTTTAGAAAGCATTAAAACTCGCGTAGAACAAAGCATGTGCAAGTATGCTCACTAGGAATGTCTATCAGTTATGCTCAAGGAAGGAATTTGAATGTAACTCAATTTAAGAATTCAAAATCAAAATAATTGATTATGATAGAATGCATGGAAGGAAACGTGTGCGAATACTGGTGCAACATAGACACAGTGCTAATTCACGCCTTAAACTCACAAATAACTAAGGATTAAATACTAAACGGTCAGCATACAGGACCAAAGCGGAATTCAAACGGTGGTGTGACTAACGATAACTGAAAACATATGCAGTGCCAAGCAAAATAGTAGGCAAAACATGAAATTTTAGTGACTCTGTTGCAACAATGCCGACATTACAAACGGAATCTATTGAAGGGACAGGTGCGGATTAAGTGTGTAGCGCTTGCTTGGTTTGTTGTACTTAAAACGTATTTGTGCAACTCAAACTTACACATAAACGGAATCATAAACACGAATCTACTACACAGTTTACGTATCGTTTGTGCTTCTACTGGTGTACGAGGGGCACGATATTGTACATTGCCATCACATAGACATTTGACATGTAGCGCGTGCATTGTAGGAGACATGCAAACTTACAGAGGCGGACATAGGTAACAAAATGAGCACTGTGTGTACAATACAAGGACGTACGGTATACGAGTAAGTGCACGGATATAAGTGACGTTTTTACGTTTGCTTCCATTTCGCGATATACTTTGAATGGTCAAACGGTTGTTTTATCATAGAAATTCCCAGAAGCACAGCTTTGGTATTAAATTAAAACAAAAATAAATTGACAAGGATCACTTTTCACACTATGAACATAAACTTAGCGAATGTTTTTTCTTCAATTTAGTTACTTTACTTATAAATACATTGGATTACTTATGAACATTTTTAATAAATAATTTTTAAGGAAATGAACTTGCAGTCAGTCGAATTCATATACTTAGTAAGTCAAGTAAGTAAATCAGTCAAGCACGATGTAGGTCAGTTATTATCAAGTACGCTGAAGGTCAAGTTAAATACGCTGAAAGTCAGTTGCACTCAAGAACGCTGTATCTCAGTTTCAATCAAGTATATGAAGGTCAGTTAAAATCAAGTATCTCAAGGTCAGTAACTGGAGGTCAGTTAAAATCAAGTACACTGAAGGTCAGTTATAATCAAGTATCTGAAGGTCAGTAGCTGAAGGTCAGTTACAATCAAGTACACTGAATGTCAGTTACATATAAATTACGCTCGAAGTCCAATACCTTCAACTACAATGTAAGTCCGTTACATTCAACTACAATGTAAGTCCGTTACATTCAGCTACAATGCAAGTCCGTTACATTCAGCTACAATGTAAGTCCGTTACCTTCAACTACAATGTAAGTCCGTTACATTCAGCTACAATGTAAGTCCGTTACATTCAGCTACAATGTAAGTCCGTTACATTCAACTACAATGTAAGTCCGTTACATTCAGCTACAATGTAAGTCCGTTACATTCAGCTACAATGTAAGTCCGTTACATTCAGCTACAATGTAAGTCCGTTACATTCAACTACAATGTAAGTCCGTTACATTCAACTTCAATGAAAGTCAATTTCATTTAATACACACATTGTTTGAGGCATTTAGTAAAAGATCCAGTTGGATTATTTCATTGTGCATTACATGTAAAGTAGTGGTTATTTGATACGTACATTCGTTTGGTTTCTGATAAAGTAAAGCGTCTGTCAGCACTTTAATACCATTGTTCTGAAATGAAATAAATATCAATAAACGATCATTTCTAACTTTGTATCACTGGAATGTAACGTAACCGATACTAACTGACGGGACTTAACTAAATTTAACTTAATCTTATCTCAGTCTTCATCCAACAGCAGATACTTACTGACAGGGATATACCAAGCTACATGTAATTCACTCTTGTTTCAGTCGTTACACCACCAGTAAAGCCAGAAAATAATTTACCGTGATAAAGTCGGAATTCGTGATATACCGATTGAAGTTTAAATGGCAGATCGATATTTGAACTTATATATATATAATTCCTTTTTATCGATGTTAAGCGGTTATATGAAAAAATAATCTGACACCGATGTGATTCACTTTTGCCTGTTTAGGGTTTGTTGTCATGGTGATATAATAATGGTCTAGGTATTCTTACTTTGAAAACATCAGCTGCATCCTGCCCTCCACTCGAGACAGGCCATCGCCAACTCCAGAACCAGGGAAAATTGCCACCCCCTGCGTTGTCATAGGACTGTAGTTCCTGGGTAACCTAAAGTAATAGTTACGAGACAGATAACAAACCGCCAGATGACATATGATTCTAAATTGGTATAAATTATAACAAAAATGTTTAAGTGTCTTTCTCCACGCGAAAGCAGTCAAGATGTGATCAGATTTGAAAAGATTAACACGATTTAAGGGTCAAGGGTACCAGGGCTGTGGAAAGTGGAGGAGTTGTATGTATATGCACGTAAAAAAGAGGAGTCCCATGCATCCAGTGTGTTGATGCAGGCAGAATGTTTTACTGCGTCGTTCACCCAGTTTTCAGTTCTCTTTTTACTCTTTGATATCATATCAATTTTCTCGCATTACTACATAATAAGTCTTGAACACATTTTCTTGTTCTTATTTTCTTAAAAAAGAAAAATGTTCATATAATTATTATCCCTCGTGTTTAATGTTTTTGCTGGCACGTTCTCGGAAAAGATAAACATAATTATAATTCATATCAAAATGTAAAATGACATGTACCTCATCCTCTGTAATATCGTTGCCTGTTTTCAACAGAAGCACACTTTTGTCTACGGCCAGTACATTCACTTGAGAGTTGGGAGAGGCTTCGAGATCGACACGAACTGATTCTCCTGGTTTTGCCGACTTCCTATCAAAATTGATAGCTACCTGCAAAATAATTTTCAATATATGTTTGATTTGTTGATGAAAAGTTGATAATAAATGATATTATTGATTCAAATTTACCTGAAATATCTTCACACAATAATGTTAACGCATTCTTCGCGAACAATTTTCATTTTCTATTATCTTCTGTTTCTATGATTAACATAAATACGAAGGACAAAAATTGAATAGAAAGTTTGGCAGCAAATTATGAAAACATTTTTTAAAAAAGACATACTATGAATGGAAACATTGATTCCAAACATAAGAGTTAAGCATAAGCGCTATGCAGACAAAAGAGTTAAGCATATGCGCTAAACTTATTTTTGTTTATATTTTCTATAGATAAATTAATACAGAATTAAGTCGATATTGGTCAATGACGTGAATCATACTTACAGGATTTTTGAAGACCCCATCAACTTTAAATGTGATTCCGTCAGCGACAATTTCTCCGTCGTCTCTTACGTACTGTACAATCATTCTTGCCTTCGGCGCCATATCAGCTGTTATCATCAAGGGAAATTCTCCCCGAGTCTGACCTCGCATATCGAACGTTCCAGCATCCAGAACCATTCCTTTAGATATTATCTGATAAAGAAAACTTTACTGATATCATAATGAGTAAACGAGACGGCACAATGATATCTTATTACCAGAAAAGAAAAACGGATGCACATGAGACTTTGTCGTATAGTGTCATATCATCTGTGATGTCTATAAATAGAATCATATCCATTCTATGATTTGATGTATAGGTAACATTGTAGTAATTCAGTTTCATTAACCCTGAACTTAAAAGTTCTTTTATAATTCGGTTTCTATCGTTAGAACATTCCAAACCATTGTTACGTTCTCACCTGGTATCGAGCTTCTGGAACACTCTGTGTAGTTTTGATTTCAAACACGGCATTTGTCCCTGGCTGTAAAATAACAATTGTTACTAAGTAACTACTGTAAAGACTTATGTTTGCTTTAGCTCAGAAATGTTACACTATTTTAAAAGAGAGTGACATAATATATTTCTTTTGTAGGAGGAGAATGAAGAAAAATATTACAAGATGTCAACAGCAGTATTTCGTCTTTTATATAACGACAATATCTTATAAATAAAAAAAAATAAATAAAAATATGAATGAATTCATGAAAGTGTTATTTAAAAGTTTGCCATATATTTCAGGTGTTACAGGTGTATTGGATACCTCACCTTTAGTTTGTCTGTTAGTAGACTGACTTGAACATAGCTCTTTGACGGTGACTCACTCAAGCTGAGATCTTTATAGTCCTTTTCCTTCTTGTACTCAGCCTATAAACATTACAAGTCATAATATTCGGCAATTAGTTACGTTCGTGAACAACATTCACCTATTTCATATCTATCTGTATTGAAAATAGCTGGATCTGGGTATTCAGTGCTTTGCTATAATACTTAATTGTAATACCATATGTCTAATATTTCTTTAAAAAAAACAAGTATTAATCAATTAGTAATCATTTCGAATAAAAGTAGATACTGGATGCTAAGGTCTTTAAATACATCGTTCGTAAAGGTGAGTAAATTACAATCAATGAAAGTTATACTAAAGCAATTTATGGGAAAGTATTTGCATACAGAAAATATTTAATATCGTAATTAAAGATTACCACAGCATTAAGAAACAGCATAAAATTGTAAAATTATATCCATATAAAAATGAATATCATTAGTAAAATCAAAAAGATGTTTAGAATTTCGTAGAAAAAAATGCTGCGTTTGTGAGGTTTTATTATCACTTTATATATTTAGCTTTAAAACAAGACTAATATGGATTCAATCCACTATGATATTTGATCCTGGCGAAGGTTGCTGTTATACAGTTATACTTACAATAATAGAGATTTTAGAGATATCATCCTAATTCTTACACAGATGTTAAGTATATACATTATTATGACAGCATTTCATAATTTCTTTCCGTTAACATGTCGAATAGTTTCTATTGTTCTTATAATAAACTTACTACGATACTACCGAATGTGGCGTTTTAAATAATACCGTAATATATACTTACTATGATACTACCGAATGTGACGTTTTAAATAATACCGTAATATATACTTACTACGATACTACCGAATGTGACGTTTTAAATAATACCGTAATATATACTTACCGTGATGCTAACAATTGTACCGCTTTCAATGATATTCGCGAATGTGGCATTTTAAAGCACATTTTTATATATCCTTGCAAGGATACTGATGAAACATACTTACAATGATACTGACGGATGTGGCGTTTTCAGGTACCATAACATCAAAGTGAATCAGTCCGTCAGCAGGTACGTTGAAATAACGCGGCTCTTCATGAACTGTCTCATACCGTGGGTAGACATGGCGTTCAAATGGCGGCCAAACATCCATTATTTCCGGTCTAGGAATAAGTTCTAGCGGAGGGATGTCGGTATCATTCAAATTCAGGACAGAAGTATTAAACGTCTCTGTGGTATTCATATCTATATCAATACTTCGTGTGGGTGGTGGTGGCGAAGGTGGAAGAATCGCTTCCGTAGTGCTAATAATGGGTGTGGTGGTTTCCATTGGAAGCGGAAACTGGTAGCTTATTGAGACGTTAACACGTGTCAATGTGTTGGGAATAGGGCTGTCATCTCTTTGGGTTACTCGTACCTTTCACAAGAACAAAATGCAATCACAAAATAGCGTGACAACAAGGACCAAGTACAAAGATTTTTTCATAAAAAGCATGGTTGATCCACTTTAATTCTCCTAATTTGTTTCTACTGTATCTAATTCTAAAATTGTGTCTTGTAAATATTTTTATCTATTATCATTGAATTGGCTGAATATGAAGTATATTCTAAACACAGATATAATTATTTCTACATCCTACTTACAATGGCAGTATACTTGAGTCCAGGTTTGAACGTAGTAGGAAGAGATTCAGCAAAGCTGATTTTGTCAGGGCTGTTGTAGAACATTATTTCCTCACTGTCGTTCATCCTCAGACCTGTGATTCCTTCAGTAACATTAGCCTCAACTACAAATTGAGTCCACTCCAGACTAGAGTCGATCTTTCGGATTTCACTTAGGGCTATTTTGGTTTCATAATCACCATTGATCTGAAATTAATAAAAATTAGACAAAAATAAAAAAAAGATGCTGAAAACTATTCGTTAACCTGATGTGAGTCATGATCAATTCTTCCTTAACATCTTGCTTTCTAAAGACCATTGAACATATCTAGTTTCATATCGCATCATGGGATTAATCACGATCATAAGCATCCCCGATGTCTCTCATCTGTATCCTAAGTGTGTATTTCAGTTGATATCTCGGAAATTCCGCTACAACTGCTAAATGTAAAGGTAGGGAACTGGAGGTGATATAATCCATAAGTTGAAAGTAGGGAAAAAGAAATTGTCATGTTTATCATACTGGCTAGGTGGAAAGCTGTCCCTGACGGTTTCGTTGTGAAGTCGCTATGACAGGTTGGTATAAAAGAGTCTGCCATGCGTTCGATCTCCAGGTGTGACCGGTAGATATGATAAACTTGGTCAGTAAATTGCTTGTTATTTCATCAGAAATCATCAGTTTATCTAAAAGGGTCATTGAAGATCTTTGTGGTCTTTCACGTCATCACATCTTACGATAAGGAGTCTGAACTGTTCCATGCAGTTTGAATATTTCATGGACGTATTAAAGATGTAAATAATAGGTCAGATAACCTTACTGAATATACCCTACAAATGTAAAAGCAATGGGATCCAAACTGGAGGACAATCTGAATTTGATAAAAGACATCGAAATAAACATAGAAACAACAATGACGCAGAATTACGAACTTAGAATTGTTCGTGAATGACTGTATACATCTCGACGCTCTGTATATGATTAACAATGATGACGTTTTATGATTCAGTCTTTACGTAATCTTCATACTCACTTTGAAGTGATGATCGATGCTCTCCACGTAGTTTTTATCTTTTTGTAACCACCAGCTGGTGTATTTCCTTTTGATGCGGAACACACCCGAACCTCTTACTGGCTTCCCGAACGTATACCTAACATAGAACATTTGGTAATGATTAAAACTGTAAAATGGTTTACATAAATGAAACACTGACACCATTCCGATGGAATTGTCAAACGAAATAATATTTTTAAGTAAAGATTGTCAACATGGAACATTTTTAATTCGAATCTTTGATACATTTATATTACATTGATATTTTCCTTGGATAACGTTCATACTCATTGGAAAGAAATTCTTTAAATTACAGATGTTTTATTACAAATACAATTATACAATATATCTGTCAGTTATTTCACATATATTTCAGCTATATTCACTAAATATATAACAATTCAGCTCTTTTATTTTCCACTGTAGATGAAATTATTCATAACCAATATATATTCACATATTTGTATTTTTTTTATATATAACATTTATCTTACATACATCGAAGATATTTTCACAGTTAAGGTGTCGTCAGTTGTTACTCCAAAAGGTGGGAGGATAACTTTCACTTCAAACTTTGGCAACACTGTAAATGGAAGATAAAAACAGGTCAGGAAACTTATGTCACATCACAAAAGTAATAAAAAACTCTGTGTATTGCATCGTAAAGTACTAAAGTCAAGAAGTATGTGTATTACAGACCAGAATCAAGAAACTTTGTTTACAGTACTAGAGTCAATAAACTGTGTATTATAGTACTGGAGTCAATAAACTGTGTATTACAGTACTAGAGTCAATAAACTATGTTTTATAGTACTAGTGTCAATAAACTGTGTGTTATAATACTGGAGTCAATAAACTGTGTATTATAGTACTGGAGTTAATACACTGTGTATTACAGTACTAGAGTCAATAAACTATGTTTTATAGTACTAGAGTCAATAAACTGTGTATAACAGTACTAGAGTCAATAAACTGTGTATTTTAGTACTGGAGTCAATAAACTGTGTATTATAGTACTGGAGTCAATAAACTATGTTTTACAGTACTGGAGTCAATAAACTGTGTATTACAGTACTGGAGTCAATAAACTGTGTATTACAGTACTAGAGTCAATAAATTGTGTATTATAGTACTGGAGTCAATAAACTGTGTATTATAGTACTGGAGTCAATAAACTATGTTTTATAGTACTAGAGTCAATAAACTATGTATTATAGTACTGGAGTCAATAAACTGTGTATAACAGTACTAGAGTCAATAAACTGTGTATTATAGTACTGGAGTCAATAAACTGTGTATTATAGTACTGGAGTAATAAACTATGTTTTATAGTACTAGAGTCAATAAACTATGTATTATAGTACTTAATAAACTGTGTATAACAGTACTAGAGTCAATAAACTGTGTATTATAGTACTGGAGTCAATAAACTGTGTATTATAGTACTGGAGTCAATAAACTGTGTATTATAGTACTGGAGTCAATAAATTGTGTATTATAGTACTAGAGTCAATAAACTGTGTATAACAGTACTAGAGTCAATAAACTGTGTATTATAGTACTGGAGTCAATAAACTGTGTATTATAGTACTGGAGTCAATAAACTGTGTATTATAGTACTGGAGTCAATAAACTGTGTATTATAGTACTGGAGTCAATAAACTGTGTATTATAGTACTGGAGTCAATAAACTGTGTATTATAGTACTGGAGTCAATAAACTGTTTTATAGTACTTCAATAAACTGTGTATTACAGTACTGGAGTCAATAAACTGTGTATTACAGTACTAGAGTCAATAAATTGTGTATTATAGTACTGGAGTCAATAAACTGTGTATTATAGTACTGGAGTCAATAAATTGTGTGTTATTGTACTAGAGTCAATAAACTGTGTATTACAGTACTAGAGTCAATAAACTGTGTATTATAGTACTGGAGTCAATAAACTGTGTATTATAGTACTGGAGTCAATAAACTGTGTATTATTGTATTAGTGTCAATAAACTGTGTATTATTGTATTAGTGTCAATAAACTGTGTTTTATAGTTGTAGAAGTATATATCATATATTTTAACGGTCAGTATGTTAACACATTAGTCTGGGGGTAAAATAAGAAAACGTTAGAAAACGTTTGATGGTAGAAAGTAATGTAAGCCACTTAAACTACTGGTATATTACTTTAATGATATACAATAAAGAAAAATGTATACTCTTTAATTATTTATCAAACAAACTACACATATCACACTACACATATCATATCTAATATATTATTTACCATATTCAGCAACTGTGAATGTCTTTTCCCTACTTTCAACCTGAAATTGTAAAGAATTTACTGATGACATTTGTGGTTCTGTCTGCGGAACTTGACACTTTCGACAAGCAATTACAAAAACGTCATAATAATTAGTTGTAAGATGTATATACAAGACCAGGCCATAAACTTAAAGGGACCATGTCAAGATATTCTATGAGTCAAACAATTTGTTGTTATTCATAAACAGCATTCTATATTGTGCTCATAGTTATGTAAGTTATATCTAGGATGTACCGAAAACACTTACAAGAGTGAAGGATATTGGAATAACGTGGATATATATATTAATTCATTGTTTGGTATACAAGATCACGAAAAAATACTGTTAAATAATACTTCATTTGTTTAGAGAAACAACCATTTGCTCAAAGAGTAGATAAATAGATACACTGAGGATTGAAATGAGTCCACCCATCAAGTAACTACATATTGACCTATCCGTTACAAGTGTACACTGACCCCTTGATTGACTTTGATCACCCAGTCACCGAGCACGGGAAAGTCTGACATCACCATGGACTCTGTGATGACCCCACTAGGGTCACTTAAACCTTTCCATTGCTGTATCTTGTTCCTCTTAGGGTCCTGTAACATCAAATTTGACATCATGATAGAGAAATGCATCAACACTCTAGAGACATTCATCGCCGTGTTTGACATCACACCAGAGCCATTCATCTCCGTGTATGACATCAAACCAGAGCCATTCACCGCCGAGTATTGCATCACACCATAGCCATTCACCGTCGAGTATGGCATCAAACCAGAGCCATTCACCGCCGTGTATGACATCAAAACAGAGCTATTCACCGCCGTGTATGACATCAAAACAGAGCCATTCACCGCCGTGTATGACATCAAACCATAGCCATTCACCGCCGTGTATGGCATCACACCATAGCCATTCACCGTGGTGTATGACATCAGACCATAGTCATTCACCGCGGTGTATGACATCACACCATAGTCATTTACCGCCGTGTATGGCATCACACCAGAGCCATTCAGATTCGAGATTAACTCCAATCAGGATGCAGATTTGAGGTTAACACTAATCAAGATTTGTTACACATTGAGAGGAAACTAAATGCCGTTATATCGTTTTGAGTTGTGCTTTCATAACAACTATTCGTCTTTTTGTGACAAGATTCCCCAAACACATGGGAAGCACATCTAAGATTGGACAGATAAATTGATGATTCATAAAAAAACGAAGATAACGTTTAACACCGATGGCGTCCGGATTTTTTATTTTATTTTTTAGTGACCTATCAAGTTCAAAGTAGTCGGTATGAATGTATAAAAGATACTTACAACAATTGAAACATCGATGGGCTTTTCTAATAATGTCAGGTCTGGTAACATTCCAAAGATTCGAAATCTCACTGAAAAAAACAGAAGTAAAAGATTTGATAGCTATCCTCCTGATTTCAACATTTGTTCGATTTCAGTGGTGAAAACGATACCTTGGTCTTCATGTTTAAACACAGAACGTGACGACCATGCATGACACATAGGAAAGAGTACCTGTTTGGAACTCGTCACATGCATGTGGATGATAACGGAGAAAGAAATCATGCTGATTGTTATTTCAGTGAGAAGTAAAAAGAAGTAAAGCATGACGTTTTGTTGGCAGCACTTCCACCTTCTTCAGACAAATGATCAGTGTGAAGTGTAGTAGCACTGATGTATGTAGTGAATGACATTTTCGCCAGTGCGTACTATAATAAGTGCATTAAGATATGAAATAGTGTGAAAAGATTATAGAGAAAAAGTACTCAAGACAGTAACACTGTACTGTAGTCGACTATGCTATATTAGGACCTCGGCTTACAGGGACTTCAGTCAGTCGACTACACTGTGTTAGGACCCCAGGTTACAGGGACCTCAGTCAGTCCAATACACTGTGTTAGGACCTTGACTTACTGGGACCTTAGTCGACAGCCATGGCTCCTTTCAAGGCTATCCTAGAATCATTTATACAGAAAATTTTCCTCTGTTTGAAAATAAGTTACCCACTACCAGAATATAATCTCCAACCGGATTGAAATTTTATATCTTGGTAGAATGATGACAACGATAAAATTTTTCCACTGCATCAATTACTGACATGTATGACATATAATCTGCATACCAGTGCAGAACGTGATTTATGATTGCCGTGAGCCGTGTAGACATATTCCACAATGTCACTATATCTAGTACACACTTTGTAACGGTACATGACACATAATTACCATAAGTACCTAACTGATATGTCTATGACATCAGTATACTGCTGAAACAGCATATACTTAAATTATCTCCTCATCTATCTGTATTGCAAATTTGACAAACGTTTTAAAGCGAATTTTAGATTTATATCCAGTACGTATATAAATAGTTTCTGTGTTATATTCTAGTTAGTTTGATTTCTTATCCTGTGTTGTATTCTAGTTAGTTAGGGTTTGATTTCTAATCCTGTGTTATATTCTAGTTAGTTAGGGTTTGATTTCTTATCCTGTGTTGTATTCTAGTTAGTTAGGGTTTGATTTCTTATCCTTTGTTATATTCAAGATGGTAAGGATTTGATTTCTAATTCTGTTCTATATCTAACATTTCATATTTTTTCGAGACTATCTATTTCTTGTTATTTTCCTGAATTGAATTAAATATTCAAAGGTTGATATCTTTAATAAAAAATAATAGATAGAACCATAGTCTGTTTCTTGTTTCCTGAAAACCAATACCTTTGTGTTTGAATGCTTAAGTGTAAATAACTATTACCTTACCTTATAATAAAAGACATATTTCGTGAATTGGTCGGAATCGGCTGTTTTATTAAACACGCGCAACTATTGTCTTAGATATCAGTATTTTAAATCACTTTAATCAGGTGGGCGCGGTAAATGCCTCAACACATGGTTAAACAGCATATGTTTAAACTATCGGTAACAATTCATTTGATTCGGGATCGACCTAATGTCTAACTTCTCACTAAATCAATTCCACGGAGCTGATGAAATTAAACAAAGGAAAACTTGCCTGTCTGGCCGGGTTTGTATATTGCTCTGTCGGTCTGGACAAGGATAGAGGAACTCTTTTTGTCAAACTTGAGTTCCGTCCAGTTGGCGAAGGTCAGGCCGCCAGTTCCCTCAACTTTCATGGCATACTCTCCCTCCATCAGATGACTGGGTACCCGGATGTCAATTAATGTGGATACGCCTTAATTAACAAAGAGAAATGAATGTTAAAAGTAATTCCTCAACGGATACTCGACCCATTGTTGAATATAGTGAATGTCTAATTACCGATAGTAATCACATGATGTGTTAACGTTTATCATACATATTATTATTCATTCGAATAGTGGCACGGTTCAGAATGTTCGCATGTACTTGTCGCTTCTAAAATCATCTGGGCCCGTAACCGTTCTCATGCTCAAGCATGAATTTTGTGCTCAAGTCTTATTAAAAATTATTAAATAAGACTGATTTTGCCAAAGATTAAAAAGAAATTTTGAAAGGACTTCAAGTCAAAGTTATATTCCATGTTTATATTTGACATTTGCATTATTTTATATGATTTAGGTGAATTATAAAAAGTTTGTTTGAGCACAAAATCTATGCTTGAGCATGAAAATGGTTTCATGAACACGTGCCCTGATGTATGAAAATTACTAAATTTAATTATAGGACTGCTGCACTTTTCCTTCTATATTTTGAATCATAAGATTTTTTTTAAAGGTTGGCCCTTAGCATCACTAACGAGTTCTTGAAGGACAAAACAGCTGTATGGTGCAATTTAATGAATTGTTCGGCTCTATTGTATCTTATTCTATATCTATATTAAAAGGTGCGATTCACTTGTGTGTCTCTTGTACAATTATTATGTGAAATTACGCATATAAGGTCATACAATTGAACTTTCAACCCTGCCTAAATGAAACAGTACCAGAAAACGAATTACCAATAATTCCGAAACGTGCATATACCTATTGTCAACATTATTTATATATTGGACTTTTAAAAAAGATTATATAAAAGATACGCAGATGAATAACACTTAAAGGAACGATAATACAATCCAAAATCAACAACTTATAGAGCAAGCAAACTCAACACATTATTTTACGTCATAGTCTCACTTAATATTAGTTTACAGCTACACAAATGGAGATTAATCTCAGTTTTCTGACATGGTACCTCATATATCAATCTTCATACTTGTCCTTGCGAACATTATATGAGAAAGGATGTTACCTTTTAGTTATATGGTTTCATCTTCAGACTAAATTTATCTTTCTATTGCCAAAGTCGTGATTTCTTACGAAACATAAATCCGGCTGTTGCGGCTTTCTTCATTTGTATTCATAAAAATTGTAAATTTCAAGTGACAAAAATAATAAAGATATTGAGTTAATTACCATTGTAAACAGTTTTTCTTTTTTAATATTTAGTATAAAAGTTCACTTCTGAAGAATTTACCGTTTTTACTTGGATCGTTTGATGGTAGGATTGTTTTTGAGCTCTGTGACACTGTCGCATTGTTGTTATCGCTTCTCTGTAGTGTTACGGTGACGTCGACTGGACCTTCAGATTTTAAGATGTGAACATAGACTCTGGTATCGAGGTTTGGGCGGATAGTTTCAGGCATTGTAACAATGTAGGAACTGGAGAAAAATAGAAATATAGAATAAGTCATCAGTGCAGAATCAACTTAAGAATATATGTGTAGAGTTAACTTCTGGATATCTGTGAAGACTCTACTTCAGAATATCTGTGAAGACTCTACTTCAGAATATCTATGAAGACTCTACTTAAGAATATCTATGAAGACTCTACTTAAGAATGTCTATGAAGACTCTACTTCAGAATATCTATGAAGACTCTACTTCAGAATATCTATGAAGACTCTACTTCAGAATGTCTATGAAGACTGTGAAGACTCTACTTCAGAATATCTGTGAAGACTCTACTTCAGAATGTCTATGAAGACTCTACTTCAGAATATCTATGAAGACTCTACTTCAGAATATCTATGAAGACTCTACTTCAGAATATCTGTGAAGACTCTACTTCAGATTGTCTGCGAAGACTTAACTTCAGAATGTCTGTGAAGACTTAACTTCAGAATGTCTGTGAAGACTTAACTTTAGAATATCCACGAAGACCGTACATTAGCATGTCTATAGATTCAACTTAACGTTAGAATATATCTGCATCATTTGCTTCAGAATTGCGATGTAGATTCAACTAAAGCACATCTTTGAAGAATCAACTTTAGAATGTAAATTGAACATTTTAAACGAGTTTGTTTATATCGTGGTAGTGAATGGTAACAAGACCTTTTGGCCATATATGGTAAGTCAACACCGCAATGTGTGCTATTTTATTCAGAGATAAACATGGGCGTTTCCTTTTATTAGCATCAGGACATGGTTATTATCATAAGACACCAGGTAATGCGTGTACAATTAAAGACGTCCAGGCGCAGTTTCAGTGAGAGAATAACTAATGAAAGCATGAATCGGCTAAATATAGAATTGAAGTTGTTTTTACAAAACCAAAGATTTTCATGTCGAGAAGCTGAATTACTAGTACTGAAATGAGTCCATACATGTGTAAGTATTTTGCATTATACAAAATATTCAGTAGCTGATAACCGTTAAAAGCGATGGCTGTTCACTGTGTGATAAAACCAGCAGATACAAAAATAACCAAAAAAGGAAAAGAGATAAAATAGCGTGTTGATAATGTTAAGAGCGATAAATAGTAAGACGTATTTAATAAGTGTTAGATATAATCGTTAGAATCATTAATACACTAAGCGTAATGAAATTGCCACGAACAAATTTAAAACACCTATTCATAACAGTCGTATCTCCTATGTTATTTTAGCGTGATAAACTTAATAGCTTTCATAAAAAACACACTTAGACGTTGATATGTCATGAGGTCTAGCAACGTCAGTGAGGGATTGGTTTTCATTGCAAGAAAGAAAACTTATCTTGTTAAAGTGAAATTAGCTCTTTTGATAGATTGATAAAACTTCACATATCAACAAGAGAATCAAGGAACAAACCGGAGAGGGAAGATCGCCAATGACATACGGGGGAGGGAAGGTCGCCAAGGACATACCAGAGGGGAAAGATAACCAAGGACATACGAGAGGAGGAAGGTCGCCAAGGACATATTTGAGGGGGAAGATCGCCAATGACATACGATAGAGGGGAAGGTCGTCAATGACATACGAGAGGAGGAAGGTCGCCAGTGACATAGGGAGAGGGAAAGATAACCAGTGACATACGAAAGGGGGGAGGTCGTCAATGACATACGTGAGAGGGGAAGGTCGTCAATGACATACGATAGTGGGAAGGTCGTCAATGACATACGAGAGGAGGAAGGTCGTCAATGACATACGAGAGAGGGAAAGATAACCAATGACATACGAGAGGAGGAAGGTCGCCAGTGACATACGAGAGAGGGAAAGATAACCAATGACATACGAGAGGGGGAAGGTCGTCAATGACATACGAGAGAGGGAAAGATAACCAATGACATACGAGAGGGGGAAGGTCGCCAGTGACATACGATAGAGGGGAAGATAACCAATGACATACGAGAGGGGGGAAGGTCGTCAATGACATACGAGAGGAGGAAGGTCGTCAATGACATACGAGAGAGGGAAAGATAACCAATGACATACGAGAGGGCGAAGGTCGCCAGTGACATACGAGAGAGGGAAAGATAACCAATGACATACGAGAGGGGGAAGGTCGTCAATGACATCCGAGAGAGGGAAAGATAACCAATGAAATACGAGAGGGGGAAGGTTGCCAGTGACATACGATAGAGGGGAAGGTCGCCAATGACATACGAGAGGGAGAAGATCGCCAATGACATACGAGAGAGGGAGGTCTCCGGTGACATACTGCAGAAGGAAGTCTCCAGTCAGTGACATACCGGAGGGGAGAGATCGTTTCCATTGATATGAAAATGTCCACTTTTGTCTTCTGAGATTCGTCGCCTTGCGACAGATATAACTGGAAAGAATCTGTTATTTTTTCTTGCATCAAATTAATATTAATACTACAGACAAACTATGAGTATCCGCGAACAATTCAAAAATCAATACATGTCCGAACTACAAGATAACACCGACATGATGACAAAAACATAATTCAAACCTTGTATCGTGATCAAAATATGAAAAAGGAAAGATTAACACATTACAAAATTGAAAAATAAGACCATGTATTCCAAATAGATAAGCGTCTGTTACTTCGACCATAAGGTACCCTTTTATGAATCTAATTTCATATTAACATTCAAATAAGATTCTCTGAAAAATGTGTTATGATCACATGATTATGATTATTATGTATAGTGATCCAATAATAGCGGAGGTGAAATCAGAATCATGTAGAAAGGCATTAGACATGTTTACGCGTTCAACGAACGGGGGAAACTGTTTTATAGTTATTCAAATAAAGAAACATGTACTTTCCAACAGTATCTAGTTTAGGAAATGTGTACGTTTCAACAGTATCTAGTTTAGGAAATGTGTACGTTTCAACAGTATCTAGGTTAAGAAATATACACCTTTCAACAGAATCTAGGTTAAGAAATATTCACTTTTCAACAGTATCTCAAATATACACTTAATCACGGCGCAGTGGAATGTGCATAGTGATTAATACTTGTATTTATAATCTTGAAAACATGTCCGATTTATATAATTATAATGATAGTAAACATCACAAGGATGTAAACACACGAACTAAACTTTTTTTAATAAAAGTAAGAAAGTTTTACGTATAAATCTGCAGAGGGAAGCCCTAGCCACTGAAATATGGCACTCTTTTTACCGATTTCAGAGAACAATGAATTTTCCTCAGTTTTGGGGGTCACCATGCGTCTACATACAATGAGGTAGATAATGCAGAAACAAATGTTACTCAGTGTTTACTTGGCAGACTTGACACATCTTGCCTTACTAGAGTGATGATGGCTGAAATGTATCCTCACTTGTAACTACCTACTGTCACAAAAAGACTGATGGTCATGCCGACAGCTCTAAAACGTCCAGTGCTCTCACGAAGAGGCGGTTTAACGACACGCAAAATACACTGTAGTCGTTTTACTCTGTTCATCACGTTGTTTTTGTACATCATGTTATCAGTCGGCCTAATTGTTCACGGTACAACAACACGATCAAACTTTACAAAAACCATTAATAGAGCTCAGACCTCCATAAAATCATTTTTTCAAACGTTTTTGTTTGTCTTAGAAGGAATTTTTAGTGTTTAATCAACAATTTTGTGGCAAATCTAATGATAAAGGACGTTTTTGAATTTTCATGTTGTCTATAAAAGGAACCAAATAATGAAGATGGGTTATTACTACAAGCATAGGTCGTGAAAATTTCGATCAGAAAATTGTACTAGATCTGTGGATCTAGTGTTTCGATGAAGATGGCACTAATTTATGTTAATTATGGCGACGACTGAAAATTATTTAGTAAAATGGGTATAGCTAAATATGTTTATCGTGGCGATGAGTACAAACTATTTAGTATAATGGGTATAGCTAAATATGTCAATCGTGGCGATGAGTACAAACTATTTAGTATAATGAGTGAACCTTATAACGTTTTTTCGTGGCGATGAGTACAAACTATTTAGTATAATGAGTGAACTTTATGATGTTTATCGTGGCGATGAGTACAAACTATTTAGTATAATGAGTGAACTTTATGATGTTTATCGTGGCGATGAGTACAAACTATTTAGTTTTATGAGTGAACCTTATAACGTTTTTTCGTGGCGATGAGTACAAACTATTTAGTTTAACGAGTGAACCTTATAACGTTTTTTCGTGGCGATGAGTACAAACTATTTAGTTTAACGAGGGAACCTTACTATGTTTATCGTGGCGATGAGTACAAACTATTTAGTTCAATGGGTATAGCTTATTATATTTTTCGTGGCGATGAGTACAAACTATTTAGTATAATGAGTGAACTTTATGATGTTTATCGTGGCGATGAGTAAAAACTATTTAGTTTTATGAGTGAACCTTATAACGTTTTTTCGTGGCGATGAGTACAAACTATTTAGTTTAACGAGTGAACCTTACTATGTTTATCGTGGCGATGAGTACAAACTATTTAGTTCAATGGGTATAGCTTATTATATTTTTCGTGGCGATGAGTACAAACTATTTAGTATAATGAGTGAACTTTATGATGTTTATCGTGGCGATGAGTACAAACTATTTAGTATAATGAGTGAACTTTATGATGTTTATCGTGGCGATGAGTACAAACTATTTAGTTTAATGAGTGAACCTTATAACGTTTTTTCGTGGCGATGAGTACAAACTATTTAGTTTAACGAGTGAACCTTACTATGTTTATCGTGGCGATGAGTACAAACTATTTAGTTCAATGGGTATAGCTTATTATATTTTTCGTGGCGATGAGTACAAACTATTTAGTATAATGAGTGAACTTTATGATGTTTATCGTGGCGATGAGTACAAACTATTTAGTTCAATGGGTATAGCTTATTATATTTTTCGTGGCGATGAGTACAAACTATTTAGTATAATGAGTGAACTTTATGATGTTTATCGTGGCGATGAGTACAAACTATTTAGTTTTATGAGTGAACCTTATAACGTTTTTTCGTGGCGATGAGTACAAACTATTTAGTTTAACGAGTGAACCTTACTATGTTTATCGTGGCGATGAGTACAAACTATTTAGTTCAATGGGTATAGCTTATTATATTTTTCGTGGCGATGAGTACAAACTATTTAGTATAATGAGTGAACTTTATGATGTTTATCGTGGCGATGAGTACAAACTATTTAGTATAATGAGTGAACTTTATGATGTTTATCGTGGCGATGAGTACAAACTATTTAGTTTAATGAGTGAACCTTATAACGTTTTTTCGTGGCGATGAGTACAAACTATTTAGTTTAACGAGTGAACCTTATAACGTTTTTTCGTGGCGATGAGTACAAACCATTTAGTTTAACGAGTGAACCTTACTATGTTTATCGTGGCGATGAGTACAAACTATTTAGTTCAATGGGTATAGCTTATTATATTTTTCGTGGCGATGAGTACAAACTATTTAGTATAATGAGTGAACTTTATGATGTTTATCGTGGCGATGAGTACAAACTATTTAGTATAATGAGTGAACTTTATGATGTTTATCGTGGCGATGAGTACAAACTATTTAGTTTAATGAGTGAACCTTATAACGTTTTTTCGTGGCGATGAGTACAAACTATTTAGTTTAACGAGTGAACCTTATAACGTTTTTTCGTGGCGATGAGTACAAACTATTTAGTTTAACGAGTGAACCTTACTATGTTTATCGTGGCGATGAGTACAAACTATTTAGTTCAATGGGTATAGCTTATTATATTTTTCGTGGCGATGAGTACAAACTATTTAGTTTAATGAGTGAACCTTATAACGTTTTTTCGTGGCGATGAGTACAAACTATTTAGTTTAACGAGTGAACCTTACTATGTTTATCGTGGCGATGAGTACAAACTATTTAGTTTAATGAGTGAACCTTATAACGTTTTTTCGTGGCGATGAGTACAAACTATTTAGTATAATGGGTATAGCTTATCATGTTTATCGTGGCGATGAGTACAAACTATTTAGTTTAATGAGTGAAACTTATTATGTTTATCGTGGCGATGAGTACAAACTATTTAGTATAATGAGTGAACCTTATTATGTTTATCGTGGCGATGAGTACAAACTATTTAGTTTAATGAGTGTATCAAACACTTGGTCCTCTACTCTTTTTATAGGTTTTCAATCTTCAAACTTTCTTTGTTGTAATCTCTTTTTTCTATCTTTAATTTACATTAAAAATTTACTGCATTCGCTTTAACGTGTCTCATTCGTCTTTGGTTAACGGAGACAACAAGTGAATTGATGTGTATCTTTATCCGGGTCAAACTAGGGTCATGGTAACTGACGCTTCATTCTGTAACAATCGTTGCGCCCCATTCATTAGGAGTTTATCTTTACACCTGTCAGCACTGAACCATTGCGACATGTGTCATCTAAAGTGCATGTTGTCTACATACACCTCTATAGTTATAACAACATAGTCTTCTCTATTTTCGGCATTAATTGTATCTATTGCGTTGTATAAAAGATACAAGAGTTTTTACCTGACTTAGGAATAACTGGAACAAGCACTATCAATGAAGTATAGTTGAAATCATTCAGTATTGAAAACTATGAAATTTATTTAATTTTGTTGTTTGTTCTCCTTAATTGGTTTTTGACCAACTTTGATTTTCCGTAGTTGATTCACAATTTTGCCTCCTGGCATCACTGACGAGTCTTAAAAGGACTAAGCAGCTGTATGATGTAGCATCACTAACGAGTCCTAGAAGGACGAAACAGCTGTATGATGCAGCATCACTGACGAGTCCTAGAAAGACAAACAGCTGTATGATGCAGCATCACTGACGAGTCCTAGATAGACAAACAGCTGTATGATGCAGCATCACTGACGAGTCCTAGAAGGACAAACAGCTGTACGATGCAGCATCACTGACGAGTCCTAGAAAGACAAACAGCTGTATGATGCAGCATCACTGACGAGTCCTAGATAGACAAACAGCTGTATGATGCAGCATCACTGACGAGTCCTAAAAGGACAAATAGCTGTATGATGCAGCATCACTGACGAGTCCTAGAAGGACAAACAGCTGTATGATGTAGCATCACTAACGAGTCCTAGAAGGACAAACAGCTGTATGATGCAGTACCAATGACGAGTCCTCGATGGACAAACAGCTGAATGATGCAGCATCACTGACGAGTCCTAGAAATAAAAACAGCTGTATGATGCAGCATCACTGACGAGTCCTAGAAGGGCAAATAGCTGTATGATGCAGCATCACTGACGAGTCCTAGAAGGACAAACAGCTGTATGATGCAGCATCACTGACGAGTCCTAGAAGGACAAACAGCTGTACGATGCAGCATCACTGACGAGTCCTAGAAGGACAAACAGCTGTACGATGCAGCATCACTGACGAGTCCTAGAAGGACAAACAGCTGTATGATGCAGTGCCAATGACGAGTCCTAGATGGACAAACAGCTGTATGATGCAGCATCACTGACGAGTCCTAGAAGGACAAATAGCTGTATGATGCAGCATCACTGACGAGTTCTAGAAGGACAAACAGCTGTATGATGCAGCATCACTGACGAGTCCTAGAAGGACAAACAGCTGTACGATGCAGCATCACTGACGAGTCCTAGAAGGACAAACAGCTGTATGATGCAGTACCAATGACGAGTCCTAGATGGACAAACAGCTGTATGAGGCAGCATCACTGACGAGTCCTAGAAGGACGATGCAGCTGCATCGTGTCGTTTAATTCATTATTTGAAATTACTTTACCGAATTCTAAATTTGGGTTGAATAGTTCGACGTGGTTTATGATACAAAGAATCCTGTACCGTATGTAGAATACTGTCCCATAATAATACATTTTACCCAACAGTTTAATTTTCGTTTTTATTTACTATATACTTACTTCAAAGCAGAGCACAGTGTGACAGCGGCAATGCCCACAAATACACCGAACATGGAGGTACCCATGTCGGCTGGAATTCTACAACAGAAAGGAAAACAGCATATTACATGATTCTTGAAACAATAACATTTTTTCTAACATAAAGCATTTTTATCGAACATAGTTGACAGCCTACGGAACATACTAGCATTACGAAATCAGACCGGTACGATTTGGCACAAAACGTCAACCCATCAGGTCCTTACATAACAAAGCTTCATCACACATTACCTTCATGCTGCTTCACCAACATATTTAATTTCATAGTAATTTGATAAAGAGATCTACGAACAAAAGGTTAATCATTGGTCAATTCGCCGGTACTTAAAGGATGTTACTACAGCTTCATCAGAATATGTCACTATAGCGTCAACACAAGGACCTTACCATTGTTGATATCCACATTGGGTTCACAATTACAATTAACTTTGTATTAGTGGTATATGAATAAATAAACTATTGTTGATTTCGTCTTTATTCGGAGTATTATACCACACAAAATTTGTTCCAATACCTTGTGATCTGCTTGGATGAATTCATTTAACCATGAATATTCCCATTTATTATTATGTCATAATATCTTTATCTTCATTCATGCGTAGAATCATATTAAGGAGTCGAACATGTCAGAAGATATACTGCTTTATATCACATATTAGAATATATTATTGTATAACAGACTTAGAGCCCTGCTATGTATCTACATCCCGTTATAAATCAAAATAAATAGCGGCATGGCCAAGGATAGTTTTATTATTTCTATTTCTATCTAACATTAATGAACGAATCCAGGATTATTTTGATATCTACTGGGTGTTAAATGCATATTTCAAATGTTTTTAAATTATAGCGTCAATGAACGAATCCATCCCTATTTCCTTATATAGTATCTTTTACTAATTACATTAATCAATGAATGACCCTATTGTTTTTTGGTATGTATCAAATTATAGTGTTGATTAATTAACCCATTAATACTTATTGAATTAGAGCACTTAACAATGAACCCATTATTTCGATATGAAGATCCTCATCATATTTTAACACTTATTACACTATATAGGTACTGAACAAATCTATCCTTATTATGATATTTATCCAATCACATCCTTCCCATCCTTAATCAAGGACACGACAAACTCTCCTACATCAGCTGCTTTTCTTAATCTTTTCCTGAAACGAAACTAACATGGACAGCTTTCAAGTAATCTGTATGATAAGCTTGATGATTTCGATTTCAGGATCGCAACAACCCTGCATTCTTAAACTATGGTGTTTTCATGTCGCGGATGATTCGAGATTCTAAGGCCTGTTCCCATTATCACTATTGTGAATCTGACAGACAAACTTGAAACACATGGTTTCAAAAATGCAACTTGATGAAAATTACGGGAAAGTTGTAAGGTCGTCATACTAATCTCACTGAGAAATATTCATTGTCTTTATACTATAGGAAGCTGGACCTGTTTGATGCTCGTTAGTTTGCCCGTTAGCTCCATTGTTGTATCGCTTGTTCTCTTTTGAGATTGGTACATTACTGGGGAACCCTAGAATGAATCTCTGAGAAACAACACTGTGGAATCCTAGCATTAACGCGGAAGCCTTGCATTACTTAGAAAGCATAGTTTTAAAAAGGAAGCCTCGCATCACTTTGAAAGCCTGGCTTTAGCAAGGAAGCCTCACATCACTTAGAAAGTCTGGCTTTAGCAAGGAAGCCTCGCATCACTTAGAAAGCCTGGCTTTAGCAAGGAAGTCTCGAATCACTTACAAAGCCTGGCTTTAACAAAAAAGTCTCGAATCACTTACAAAGCCTGGCTTTAGCAAGGAAGCCTCGCATCACTTAGAAACCTTAGCATTGCCGGGGCATTATGGTGCAATGTAACTTGTCATTAAATATATACTGTATCTAATAATAAACATTTAAAAGGTATTATTAATTGACGTATCCTCAGTACAATTCTTGGAAATACTGATATTGGTTGGTATTAAGTGGGATATTATCTATTCCACTGCTGTGAATATCCCATTATTTTGTTGTAATGGTAGGTGCAGACGTCATGAATACTATATCGTTTGACTAATATCTTGTATACCAACAAAGTACTAGTTATGCCAAATGTATGGTTTTCGCAATTTTCACAGTTTGTATTTATATATATTTTAGTTTACATTTCAAGTTATTTGGAAAGAAAGGGGGGAGACAAATACCAATACGGGAACAGAATCAGAATCCAAACCTAAATTCACTACAACTAGAGCAAAAAATCAAGATATTTGTCCTGAGATATTTGATATAGATCGATTGTAAAACAGTTTATCTTGATCTTGAAAGATACTTGTAATAAAAATGACACTTGGTTATCTTACTAACTACAGAATTATTGCATTATCATTAAATATAGAATTCGTTATTCTAGCTTAGAGGAATCTTTAACAACAAAGTAAATCAATCGTTATTTATGCTGTACCAGTCTAATGTATCCAATCTCCATCTGAGCTATACTACTTACAATATCACTCCGATTTAAACTGTCTACAATATCACTCAAAGCTACACTGCATATATTATCACTCAGAGCCACACTGTTTACAATATCACCCAGAGCTATACTGTTTACAATATCACTCAGAGCTACACTGTTTACAATATCATCCAGAGCTACACTGTTTACAATATCACTCAGAGCTACGCTGTTTACAATATCACTCAGAGCTACACTGTTTACAATATCACTCAGAGCTACACTGTTTACAATATCACCCAGAGCTACACTGTTTACAATATCATCCAGAGCTATACTGTTTACAATATCACTCAGAGCTATACTGTTTACAATATCACTTACAATATCACTCAAAGCTACACTGTTTACAATATCACTCAGAGCTACACTGTTTACAATATCATTCAGAGCTACACTGTTTACAATATCATCCAGAGCTACACTGTTTACAATATCACTCAGAGCTATACTGTTTACAATATCATTCAGAGCTACACTGTTTACAATATCACTCAGAGCTATACTGTTTACAATATCATTCAGAGCTACACTGTTTACAATATCACTCAGAGCTATACTGTTTACAATATCACTCAGAGCTATACTGTTTACAATATCACTCAGAGCTACACTGTTTACAATATCATCCAGAGCTACACTGCATATATTATCACTCAGAGCTACACTGTTTACAATATCACTCAGAGCTACACTGTTTACAATATCACTCAGAGCTATACTGTTTACAATAACATCCAGAGCTATACTGTTTACAATATCACTCAGAGCTACACTGTTTACAATATCACTCAGAGCTACACTGTTTACAATATCACTCAGAGCTACACTGTTTACAATATCATCCAGAGCTATACTGTTTACAATATCACTCAGAGCTACACTGTTTACAATATCATCCAGAGCTACACTGTTTACAATATCACTCAGAGCTATACTGTTTACAATATCACTCAGAGCTACACTGCATATATTATGACTCAGAGCTACACTGTTTACAATATCACTCAGAGCTACGCTGTTTACAATATCACCCAGAACTACACTGTTTACAATATCACTCAGAGCTACACTGTTTACAATATCACCCAGAGCTACACTATCTACAATATCACTCAGAGCCATACTTGTGCGCAGTACTGTTAACACGTTGTTGGTCACCACTTTGGTAATATGATGGATGGAGTTCCTTGTGGCGAACAGGTAAATACGTGTCTGAAATGTGTTAGTTAAACTGAAACGATCTCCAAAAATATCAAAGCTTCATTAATGTCCTGTAGCTTGAATACGACACTTGAATTTATAAATTGTTGAAGACGCCGAAATCACGTCCTTGAAAAATTGATTTTTAAATAGGTTCTTTAAAACAAACAAAAATTAAAAACAGTATACCGATATGTAATAACAGCTTATTTCAAAACTAAATGGAACGAGGACAAAAATGACCAAAAGGTGGGTTTGCATAAACTTTACAACAGTTCAAAGACAACAGGAAAAGTCATTCCGAAAGGGAAGATGTCTTCTACTTCACCAGTTAAACATCAATCTGAATTCGGAATGTCACGTAATCAAACGAGAAACAGGTTTAAAATTACTAATGCAGCTAGCATACTAATGAGCATCGAATATATCTGAAAGATGATTTTATCGTCGAGTTCATGTCGAACGTTATATGTGAACGTCTGACGGTGCAATTTACTACACAATGACGATAATACGTAAATGTCTGATGGTAATAAACAGTGTCGATTACATGTGAACATCTGACGGCAATCATCTATGACAATTACACTTGAACGTCTGACGGTACTAAGAAATGTCGATTACAAATGAACGAATGACGGTACTAAGAAATGTCGATTACATGTGAACGTCAGCGGGATACCTGACTAAGCGTATTTTTAGAATAACTCTGAGACAATGAAAAATGAACTGGTGTTAATTGTTCTGTTGACCTATTTATGACATCTATCAAACGTCAAATGTCAAAGAAGGTGGATCGCAGTTGTGCGGAGTACGACGCTAACAGGATTTTTACGATGCACCAAAAAATCCTAAAATAAACAGCTTAACGGGGTATTAACATATGGTAGATAAATTATCACTACCGTAACGCAAAGAGAAGAAAAGTTTAAATATGTATGTTTAGATCATTAATAGAAATAGAAGATAAGTACTCTTAAACTAGACCTTGATACAATAGATTGCAGCAAGAATCTGTTCTAGATTCAAAGATTACTCTAAAGTGGTTTGTTTACCAATCGTTTTTGGAGATGAATATCATGGAGTGATCATACTCATCCAAAATAGAAATTACTAAAATGACTAATTTATAATGACAAAAAGATACAGTGTGTTTCATCATTTATATTCCTTTTATTTCGTGTTATATATATATATTTCTATCCAGAAAATTCTCATCTGTATCATGTGAGATATCATAACAGATATAACGATGTGCCATTAATTGTTGTCAGCTTTTCATGACTTTAATTAATAACCAA